CGGAAGAAATATCAACAACCTCAGATATGCAGATGATACCACTCTGATGGCAGAAAGTGATTAGGAATTAAAGAACCTCTTAATGAGGGTGAAAGAGGAGAGCACAAAAAATGGTCTGAAGCTCAACTTCAAAAAAACTAAGATCATTGCCACTGGTCCTATCACCTCCTGGCAAATAGAAGGGGAGGCAGTGACAGATTTTACTTTCTGATCACTGCAGATGGTGACAGCAGCCACGAAATTAATCTCCTTCTGGGGAGAAAAGTGATGACAAACCTAGACAGCATCTTAAAAAGCAGAGACATCACCTTGCTGACAAAGGTCTGCATAGTCAAAACTATGGTTATTCCAGTAGTGATACATGGAAGTGAAAGCTGGACCATAAAGAGGGCTGATCGCTGAAGAATTTATGTTTTTGAATTATGGTGCTGGAGGAGGCTCTTGAGAGTCCTCTGGACTGCAAGGAGAACAAACCTATCCATTTTGAAGGAAATCAACCCTAAGTGCTCACTGGAAGGACAGATCCTGAAGCTGAGGCTCCAATACTTTGGCTATCTCATGAGAAGAAAAGACTTCCTGGAAAAGACCCTGATGTTGGGAAAGTGTGAGGGCAAGAGGAGAAGGAGATGTCAGAGGACAAGATGGTTGGACAGTGTCATCGAAGCAACCAACATAGGGTCACGAAGAGCCGGAGACGATTTAAAGACTAAACAACAACAACAAAGATTGATCATGTTTGACCAAACTCCAGGAGGCAGTGGAAGACAGGCGGGCCTGCCATGTTCTGGTCCATGGGGTCACAAAGAGTCACACATAACTTAGTGACTAAACAACCAACAACCAACCAGCATTTCACTGGTAGAAAAAGATAAGGTGCTCTCCCCTGAAGTAGCTTTGCTTCCTGTTCTTCATTAAGATGCTCCTTCCTGTAAGCAAATTGTTAGGCCTTCCAAGGTTTTTCAATGTCTGCTTTAAGCTGTATTCTAATAGGTCTTGCAATAGTATCTCCTCCCCTAGGAGTTCTTGCGGTACTGAACATAATGTAACAGTCCCCTTTTAATAAGCTTAACCAGCTTTAATATGATTATTAATGTTTCAGAGTATTAGTTTGTACTTACTGTGGAACAGATCCAGCTCCATTTCATTCAGTACCTGGGCCATGCGGGGAAATGAGGATGCAATCTGTGTGTCTGCATTGGTACAGATGTGTATTGAGCATCACCAGATGACCCGGGTGAGGGGAGAGAAGAGAGAAGGAGGGTCATGGGGGGTTTTGAAGACTGGGGATTATGTTAAAGAATATAGAAAAGTAAATATGAAAGTGAAAGAAGATAGCAGAGGAATCACATGTGTTAATGAAGGGAGTACAGTATTGACAGTGATGAGAGATAGACCTGATAGTTATAAAGAAAATGACAGTGGCAATAGATAACAGCAGAAGCATTATACAGGTGTTTGGTAATGACTTAAGAAACCGCAATACACAGAAACCTGTATCCAACCATTTCAGTCTGCTAGCACACCCTGTAGAAGATTAAAACATCACTATTTTAGAACAGAACCATTAGAAACCAAGAATACAGAAGGAAACAGCTGAGATAAAATGTATACACATGATGCACATCCATTTACTGTAGATGGATTGAATATAAGCCTAGGTTTCTTAAGTCAGTACCAAATGTAATACTTATCTACTGCCACTGTTATTTCCTCTTCTTCTCTTCCGCCCCCCCACCTCATTTTTGCTCGGGCCTGGTGTTTGTTTTCTGTCTCCTGGAGGATGATTTACAACAGTATCAGTACCCTAAAACAACACCGTCCATAAATTACTCCATGTAGATGGAGCCAAAGTTTTACTTGTTAAACTGATCTTTCATTCGACACTTCATTCTGTTTCCATGTCTGATGAAGTGGGCATGTCTCTCATTAAAATATAATAGTTTGCCTATAAGGCGCCACCTGTTTTTGTCTTGCTTTGTTTCATTTTGCTTCTTTAGATTTTCTCTGATATGTTTGCACAGACTAATGTGGTTACCTCCTCTAAAACTACAACTTTTCAAACATGAAACAGTTCAGTGTCTTGGGTGGAAACAGGAATCACTAAACACGGAGAGGTGTAAATCTATTTACACCCTTAAAGCCCTCCTAAACATGATGGTACTATTGAGGGCAGACTTTGAGACCTAAATCCATGCTCCTACAATTCCTCCTCATCTTTTTAGCTGTTTGGGGAAGGTCCTAGCTTCCTGTCTCCAGTCTTGTATCCCTGGCTTCAGCTCAGAATCTCTCACCAGTTCTACACTTGGAGCTGTGATTTGATTTTTCTAAAGGTCAAGCAAGGAATGGGAGAATGCACTTTGAAATCTAAACTGTTGGAGCAATATGGGATTGAATAGCTCAGTAACACCTCTGGCTTAGGCCTCTTCTCAGTTTTTGTCTGTACCACTTGGAGCACTGGGATTATAATGTCCAAAAGGGGTTGTTCAGGTGCGCTGGCACTTTACAGGTGTGATGGTATTAACCTGAAGAACTGATGTTTGTGTGCTGGCAACTACTTTAAAATGCCCCTCCCCAAAAAACACACAGAAAAAACGAATCCAACATCTTTTCCAAAGGTAAAACAGACACTAGGATTTGGAATGTACCAGAAAACAAGGACTGCCCCCAGTAACGTTATGCTGTGTTTTTGTTCCCGTACAGACAGTACAGCTCAGGATACACACTTCTTGAAATACCCGCGTTCATAATTGTTGCTTGAATTCCTGTAAGCTGGTGTTGTTTTCCCCTCTGAGTGTATAAGCCATTTCATTCATCATCTCATCCTTTTAATTCAATTAGATCTTGGAGAAGCCCAGCAGCTCTGTTGCACTCTCGGTAATAAAATTACGCCTCTGTTTGCCAGGAGAGGTTTCGGATGTCATTGGCAGAGCCAATTAATAGGCAGGCAAAGAGGTTATATTGGAACTGCTTTGCAGAGTGAAGGGAGGAGGAGGAGGAGGAAGAAAGGAAGCAGAACAGGAAGGAAAGCATAATTTACTTCTTGCTAGGATGAAAATGTTTAATTTCCTCATGTCCTGCCTGCCCAGTTCCCCTTCCTTTAAAATGGAATGTGGAAATAATGTGTATATATTATATCGGAAGGGCATGAGATGTAAATATCCGAATTGTGAAATATGGGGTAGAAGAAGAAATTTCACTACTACAGAATTTCTTTGTTCATGTCAGATGCAATCCAGTGGTGCTTCTGGAATGGGGGAATTGTGTGGTGGCCACACTCCTTGGGAGATTCTGGGACATGACATCTGCAAATTTCAGTTTTCCAACCTCTGCATGTACAGTACTCTCTTGCCTATCTTTTTTTCTTGCCTACTATTAAGGATATTCACATTTTCTCTAGAGTTCTTATCCTGCAAGCTTTGTGATTTCTGTCCTTCTTGAAAAACACATACTGTAATTCTTTAACGTTTATCACAAGTTGATTGTGATGCTGTGGAACATAAAGACCACCTTTGCTTGCCATGCTTTGCAAAAGTTATTCCTTCAGGTACATTAGCCATGCCTTCCAGAATATATAAGCAGTTGTGCATCATCTGGAAGCCAGAACATCATAAGTATTCACAAAGAGGATGGTAGCAACGGAGAGGTTGAATGGTTGTCACACACTCTCTTTGAAGTCCCACATTTATTTACTAGTTTCAAGTGGATAGTCAGTCACACTGTGTTGTAGTGGTGTGTGTTATGTGCACAAATCTCACTAACATTTCGAAATGCAGCTCAACCCTTGTCTGAGGTCACTTCTGCAAAATACACAAGCAAATGGCTGCAAACAGCTAGGGTGCTATCTGAACTTCTGTTGCACACTGTTTATATTTAAAGAGATTGGATTAATGTCTGTGTTTTCCCATGTGCAGGAAACATTCCATGCAGGAGAGAATTGGTAGTATTGGGGCCATCTTAGCCCTCATACTGTTCAAAATATAGCTCTTTTAAGAAACAGTCATTAGGCAGGGCCCATGTTATATGATACCAGTCAGCCTTCTCAATCTGGATGTTGGTAGCCTACAAACCTACATTGTTTGTAATCAGATGGTGCAGTATAAAAGTGAAACAAACAAACTATTTTACATAGTGCTGTCCTCTGAAGATGCCGGCCACAGAGACTGGCGAAACTTTAGGAAGAACAACCTTCAGAACACAGCTAAAGAGCCCGAAAAACCCAGAACAACCAAACAAACTACCATCAGATAGCTGGAGTTGTAGTCTAAAATTATCACATCATATGTTTCTATTTTATTGTAAAATCCCAAGAATTCACAATGGATGGGAATGGGGAACATTATTCTCAGTGCAGACCAGGAATGTGTGACGACGACAGAGAATGTAGCCTATGACAATTTGAGAATGTTTAACATGAGAGGTTTGTTTGAAGAAGAACTGCCTGAGGACCATTGGTTGGACTCCCACTGTGTTAAAGACTGAAGGAGAAATACGTACAGTACTGAGGCCGTGTTCTGCAGAGTGGTCTACATCCTGTAAAAGTGACTGAGTCCATTGTACATCTTTGGATGTCAGCAGCTGAGCTAGAAGGAGTTCAGGACCTTTAGCTTTCTTAGAAATTTAGTCATAGGCCAACACAACCAATAACCTCTTTGTGCTCAGTGTAAAGTAGCTTTATTTGGTTTTTCTTTCATCCCGATAGTTTATTTTACATTAAGTTAAGTTTTTGTCATACTTGGTGGCCTCATAAACCTCTTGGAAGAACTGCCTCTCTCCGGCTACCCATAGGATACAGTATTTGGGACTATTTAGCAAAGACATTGAGAATATCTGTCTCCTTTAGCTCGGAGCAGACAAGTCTGGCCCTGGGGCTGCACATGGCCTCTGTCTCCCCCTAGGTCTCGTCTATTTCTGGGGGAAGGGGGAGTGAATGGTTCCTCCTGTAAGCTTCCTGGAGTGGCAAACGAAGCTTTGAAAAAGGTCGCCGGGCTCACTGTGGTGGAGGGACTGTATTCCCCACACCTTAGGGGAAGAGTAACACTTCAGCTAGTGAAAAACCTGGGACAGTGGCAGACCTCCTGTCCACCACCCTTTGCCAGAGCCACCCATCACCAGATCTTTAGTGCCTTGAGGAGGAAAAGGAGGTTGGTGATGACAACCTCCTCTTCCTCCTCTGCCTGCTCCCACCTTTCCCACATACTTGGGGAAATCATATTGCACAAGTCTCTCCCCCCCAAGTCACAAAAGTTTTTTAAAAAGATAGGCAAACAGCAGCTGAGCTCAAAAGGCATCGCAGAGCAGGAAGGGGTCCTCCTCATGATGGCTGGGCCAGATGCAGCCACTGCCACCCTCTCCAACTTTGTCTTTTTGAAAGCTGCTGCTGCTGCCAGCCATTTTGGCTTCCATTTTGCAGCACTAAAAGTTCTGATTCTACACCCATATTCTAGTACAGGGAGACTTTGCTATCACCCAGCTATGAGGGCCCATTGGGGAACTCTTCCTAAAATGTTTTATGGGTACGGGAGGTCTGCCCAGGTTCCCTTCTCTATCATGGGACCAAAGTCTTTAGCCTGTCTTGGTCTTCTATGTGTGTGTACTTCAAAATGCAATTGTAGAATCACCAGAGGATGAGGTGGGGGTCCTGGCAACCCACCTACCTAGCCCTTACTTTTGTCCTAGTCTACAGAAAGCATGGCTGTCACCTCTACTGTCATTTCACTCTTCTTTACCCAACGGACATTTTCTGCTTCACTGTAACTATTGCTTTTAATCTCTATTCCAAAATTGCTTATGAAGAGAAGAAAAAAAGAAACACTAATTATTTCTAGATGTTTCTTGCTTGGGGTAATAGCTTCACTAGAACTGAACTGGTTCTTCTGGTAGCCAGCACCATAGAAGGCATCTCTAAAATGTCATGTTGTGATTTCTCCCACTGGCCCCATCCTATTGCTGCAGACTGAAAAGCAAAATTAATGGAAAAATATTGTGGCGTTTTTTATGAGCATCCGCTGGCTATCAGTGGATCTGAAGCTACCAGAATTTATGGGAGATTCCTTTTGGCAAAAGGGGTGAGGTTACTTTTGCTCGTTCTCCCTCCCCACTGCAGCCTCCTGTATCCCACAAAAAAAAAACTGTCGTTAGAATGTGCAAACATATTTTAAAGACCTCAATGACTGTTTTTGTATATTTTCCCTCCTACTTTTTGAAAAGAGCTTAAAGTGTGGCAGTAACCATGCCTTGGTATAGCTGTCTTCTTTGTTTTGTTTTTCAGCTCTCAGAGCTGGTTTTTCATCTTTCCTCTGTTTTGGAGAGAAGAATAATTTGGGATAGTGCTGGGGTGAGGTGGGATGCTGCAGGAGAAACAAGTAACTAATGAAGAAAAACATTTCCCCTTCCACCATTCCTTTTTGCTGGGAGAAGACTATGTTGGATCAAAATGGAGTCCTTCCATTTCTGGAACAAATACTTTTGATCCAAGCCAATGTTTTTGTCCTTGTGCACCTTTGCACAAAGGTGACGAGGTCTTAGCAATCAAAAACCTCCGCTTAGCAGATGAAAAATTAACAAAATCTCTCAAGAGTGTAAAAGCCACCATCACTGTAATAGGGCAAATAAAGGTTGAAGTAAAAGGGTCTTCATTAGATGGTAGAAAACTGAGAGAAAAAGTTATCACATGTTTTCAAATTTTGACAGGAAGAAGACAAAGCCACCCTGAGGAAAAGCAGTCCTACCTACTAGAAGTTGATGTGCTGGATGGCCATGTTTCTAGTCCATTAGAAGAGCCCCTTGCTTTAGGTGATTATTTCATTATCCACAATCGTATGTGTTATTACTACTTTACAGACCCCTTTCCCTTCTCACAGTGCTAAATTTGATGTAAGATGATGTAGTTGTTGATGGAAGTGCTATTGATAGATCCCTGTCTTTTAAATAAAGCAGAAGTTGAAGGACAATGAAGACATTCCTGCGGTTCAGAAATTCCAGAAAATTAAAGAAAATAGAGTTTTCTCTGGTTTGGTAGAGTATTGTTTTCATTTGTGATCCCTACTATATAAGGCAGGACTGGGCAGACACAGGAGGTCCGGCAGTTTTAGTCCCCCAACACACCACTCCAGACCCCACTCTTTTTTTTCAAAAGAAGAAAATCCCATTTTCAAAGCTGCTATTTTGAGGTTGTTTTGAGGCCAGGAGAAAGCAATCAACAAGTGGCTGTTATGTTTTGTTTTCTCTGCCAATCTCAACGTAGAAAGCAGAATCGTTGGAGAATAGCATCTGTTATCCCATATAGAAGGCCAATATCCTGTTCTAGTTGGGATAGATAGTCAGAGAAAAATGGATTGCCCCATTCTGCAGAGTAGGACACCTCACCTGTAGCCCTAGTATAGTACAAACGTCAGAATCTAGGTATTGATAAGATGGCTCAGCAAGGCATAGCTTGTGGTGGATGGATACATAGCTGGGTTAAGCTGAAAGATGAGAAAGGAGTAGAAGAGAAAGCTAACTTGGAGCTAGAACTCAGGCAGTCATGATTCAAAGCCAGACAGAAGATTCAGTGACTGCCCTGCCCTGCTATGCCTATCTGATCAATCAGAAGACTGTCCTGCAGTTCTGAAGCTGCTGACAACTTTGTAATGGGAAAGTTGAAGAAATCGCTCCTGTACAAGTCCCATTTTAAAAATTGTGCAATAGTACAAGAGTATCATTCATTTTAAAGGTATGTTCATGGGAGACACATGTGATAGGTTCTGCCCTCAAAGGGGAAGGAGAGACTGTTGAATCTGAGTTGTGAAAGGTTTTCTTTCTGAACAAATAGGGTTTCCCAAAATTAATGTAGGCTTAAGAACAATTCTGACGTGCAGAATAACAACACAGTGATCAAGAGTACGATCAGAAGAGCTTTTGGTGTATTTTTCAGCTCTCAAGAAAATAACTCTTCCATCCTTCCTGCAAGAAGGCTTAAAAATTGGAACCTGGAACCACAGAGGCTGCTGTGACAGACTTTACCCCTTCAATGCACAGTTATACTAATACCCATTGTTTGACTTCAGTTGGCTTCCTGGCCCAGTTTTCAAACTTGCCCTGCAATCATCTAACAACATCTACTGCAAACAGGCAGCTACATAAATATTTGTGTAAAACATTGAGCAAAAATCCTGTTGGCATAACTTTTCATGGCATAACCCAGATCAGGATTCTTATTCTCTCCTTCCTCTTCGTAGGTTCCAAGGATCCCTACGTAGGGCTCTCTTTTGTCCTGGGAAAGCTTTTGGCAATGCCTTTGGGGGCCATGGAATGTGGATTGGTGGAAGGAAGAGAGAGAGAGAGACAGAGAGACAGAGAGAGAGAGAGAGAGAAGGCTTTACCAGTAAAAAAAATCACCACCACATTGTCACTGGTGGTCTAGATCCTGGCAATGGTGATCCAGCAGCAATATTTATAGAACACACTACACCAGAACACAGAGTTTTAGCTGCTGTCCTCTAGCTCCAGCCACAGAGACTGGCAAAAAGTTAGGAAGAAAATTCTCCAGAACGCGGCCAAACAGCTGAAAAAAACTACTACAACAAGCTTTCAATTACTTTAAATTAAATGTTTCCAGAACCCAGACCAGGTTACGCAAGAGTAAAGTTATGCAACATGATTTCACCCATTGTTTCAAAAGCTCTGTAGACAGCTTGCAGGGTTGATGTAAGTGGCCTTCTCGTTAATAACACTTCCCAGTGCTGGCTCATTTGCCTCCTATGGGTCTACTTAGGAGTGTTGTAGCATAGCCAGCTAGAACCAAGAAGAGATAACTGTTCTGAAAATAATGAATGGTCCTGCTATGCTGGACCTGTTGAGTGAATATGGACACTTGCCAGGGAAATAAAAGGAAAGTCCTTTTACATCCTCACAACTCTGTATATATTTTTTTTCTGGTCATAGTGGAAGCCCCAGTTATACAGTGGTGGTTTTCATCCTGTGGGGCCAGTGGCCCTCGAGGGCCAACTCAAGCACAGTGTGACAGCACCTATCTCAACACCAATGTTTCAGTGACTGTAGAGAAAGAGGGACCATTGCGAGGAGTGCAAATATGGAAAGTGCCAGCATCGAACCTGTACACGTAAGTGTCATTGTGGTATGATAACAGAACTTCTATTACACATGCTAAACCTTCATAAATTAATTTTTAATACAGAGATGGGAGTTCATATGGTGTGGTTCATAGCTGCAGCTGCTTTTTGGAGTGGTGCTGTAGTGTTTCTTCCTCATCCTTGCTGCTCTTTTTCCAGGATTTCAGCATATGGAGCAGCTGGAGGGAAAGGAGCCAAGAACCACAACAAGCGTTCCCATGGGGTCTTTATTTCGGCCAGCTTCCAACTGGAGAAGGATGCACTCCTTTACATGTTGGTGGGGCAGCAGGGAGAAGATGCCTGCCCAGGGGTGAGAGATGCATGCCTCACACACTCACCACAGTTGCTCAGAAGAAACTAACAGATTATGACAGTTTAGGATACTTCCAGGAAGCCACTTTCTCAGAATGAAAGTAGAGTGTGCACTGGCCATAGTTTTAGACAAGGTGCTCCTTCTGTAGCAAAAGTAATTGCACATGTCTTGCATTTGGCATGCATTGCTTTTGGATTGGTCGCTGGAAGGTTAGTGGGCTTGATTTGCAAGTCTGATAGCCAAGGCATGTATCTCTGAGGAAACCATCCATCATTGGAAGGAAAACAGTTAATCCTTCGAAATGTCATTGTCTAGTCCTTTGATTTGTAATAACCTCAAAACAGGATATGACTAGAAGTATCTCAGAGAAGAAGAACTCAGAGTATTTTTTGCTATATGGAGATCTTCCTGTGATGAATCTTTGAGTCATTTTGGTTTAGGTAAAGGTTCCCCTTGACATTTTTAGTCCAGTCGTGTCTGACTTTGGAGGCGGTGCTCATCCCGTTATCAAGCCGTAGAGCTAGCGCTTGTCCGAAGACAGTTTCCGTTGTCATGTGGCCAGCGTGACTAGGGAACCCCATTTTACCTTCCCACCAAGGTGGTACCTATTTATCTACTCGCATTTGCATGCTTTCAAACTGCTAGGTTGGTGAGGAGCTGGGACAAAGCAATGGGAGCTCACTCCGTTGCGTGGATTCGATCTTACGACTGCTGGTCTTCTGACTTTGCAGCACAGAGGCTTCTGTGGTTTAGCCCACAGCACCACCATGTCCCTCCACAATTTTGGTTTAGCAACCGACAATATAAACAATGAAACTATTTCCCTTTTATTGTTGTTGTTATGTGCCTCCAAGTTGCCTCCAACTTATGGAGACCCTGTGAATGAGCACTCTCCAAAATGTTCTATCTGGCACAGCTCTGATTAACTCTCTTTTTATTGCAAGTGTCAAAGGTGCTGGTTGTTCCTTCTCAACAGGCTGTTTGAGCATATTATACTATAAAACCTTGTTGTTTTTAGATTATTTTAACTGTTTTAGAACCTTTGGAACTTCAGTTTATTAAAAATGCTTTGTTCTGCTTAACAATCCCTTGCCACTTCTGCTCTTTTTTTAACCTTAGGTCATCTTAGGTTTTAAAAAAAATCTCCCCCTAGTGGTAGAGTACGTATTAATTGTTGTTTTTATTTTAACTGTTTTAGAACTTTTGGAACTTCAGTTTGTTAAAAATGCTTTGTTCTCCTTAACAATCCCTTGCCACTTCTGTCAATTTACACTTCTAGTGTTTGGTCCATTCCCAGGTATGGTCTTCCTCTGTTTTGTATATAGACAGGTCTGGCACAGCACTAAACCTCAAGACTTCCCTTGCCCCACCCTTTGTTCTTTCAGCTGGTGCATTGCTCTGGCTTTGATTAGGCATTGGCTGACATGACTGAGGAAGAATTATATCTGTGGGAACAACTGACCTGTTTCACAGGAGTTTTGCTTCCCTCATACCAGCCTGCACAGTTTACTGACCTCCTACTTTATATTCTTCTGTCACAATTTCATTTTAAGGCATTGAAGGTACTGGGCCTGATCTGGCTGAGCTAGGGAGTGGGGTATTGGCCTTGGCTTCTGGGTAGAGGACCCCCATAACGATCTTAGAATTAGAGGCATCCAGGTGAAGAACCACCTTGGGAAGAGGGCTCCCAGATTTTAGGAGCTACACACTTAGTGGCCCATGGCCAACTCGCTCTCAGGTCTTGTTGTCTCATGACTAAGAAGAAGGGAGCATCAGGTACCAGACAAATGAGCTAACATCTAGATCTGTTGGGAGCATCAAGTACGAGACAAATGAGCTAACATCTAGATCTGTTGCCCTATATTGTAGCTAATAAAGCTATGGCCATTATTGTTACATCACAGATGCCATATGCTTGATGCAATAATAAATAATTACATCGTGTCGCTGCATTCTGCACCATTTGAAGCTTCTGCATCAATCTCAAAGAATGAGCGCATCACAGTAGTCTAATCTCGAGACTACAATTACATCGTGTCGCTGCATTCTGCACCATTTGAAGCTTCTGCATCAATCTCAAAGATTGAGCGCATCACAGTAGTCTAATCTCGAGACTACAAGACATCAAGATAGGGACACAGTTAGACGATCCGCCAAAGATGGAAGTAGGTGGTGCATTAGACGATCCACCAAAGATGGAAGTAAGTGGTGCTGATCGCTGACACTACCTGGGGTTCCATGGTAATCACTGGATCAAGATGTACCCTCAAGCTGCAAGCCTCAGTCTTCATGGTGAGAGTCACCCCCAGAAAAGGGGTTTCCCAAACCACCAATGTCTGGGCCGGCCACCCTCAGGACCTCCATCTTGTCCGGGTTCAGACTCAGACCATTCCCTGGCATCCATCCCAGTATGGCATCCAGACAGTGCTGAAGGGATGGAACGACATCCACTGTTGTAGGAAAAAAGGAGATGTAGAGCAGGGTGTCATCAGCTTACTGATGACATGAAGCCCCCCACCCCCTGATTACCTGATCCAGCAGCCTCATGTAGATATTAAACAGGATTGGAGAGGTAATCAAGCCCTGCAGAACCCCACAATTGAGATTCCACGGAGGGGGACAGTCCTCCAGGAAGGATCAGAGCCAGGCTAACGCCAAACCACAGATTCCCAGGACAAGTTATTCTTTTGGATTACGACTCAGAATATCACAGCTAGGATGGCCTCCCCAGTTGGGGCATTCCGGGAACAAGCAATCTAAACAGTTCTTTCTCCCATTTCTGCAGTTTATGCCAGTTCAAAAATAGCCAGAAATGGAGAGGAACAAAGAAATAATCGCAGCAAGTCAATTTTAAAATATTGATTCTGAGATTCAGAATTGACCTGCCAGCTTGGTTCCTCCTTTCATTTGCTTTAATCAAGCGACCACATGCCATCTTCCCTGTAAACTAAACTGCTTTCCAGTTTAGTTTTAAATGCCTCTTCCAACAGGGAAAAGTAGATCCTTCCTGTCATTTACATTCTAGTGTTGAAAGGATGCTGTCAAGATCAAATCCCCACTGTGTTCAAAGGAAGGTTTCCTCCTTTTCTTGTTTGTCTTAATGAAGCAACCAAACTCAGCAAAGAGCTAGATTCAGGCTGCTCATGCTGACATGTGTCTTCCCAGATAGATTTTGCTGAATTTTAGTCCTCACTATTATTTAGACTGTAGTATCAACATCTCATGAAGTTTAGCTCCATTAAAAGGTGATGTAAAAAAAAATAATTTTCTATCGAAAAGCGACTTAAGTTTTAGTGGTCAAATCCAGATCCCATAAGCTGTAACAGATGTCCTTAATAATGAACATTTAGATATTTTTGTACACACACAGAGAGAGAGAGAGAGAGAGAGAGAGAGAGAGAGAGACTAAAAAGACTTAAGTAACTGAGAATAGTTGGGGCTTACATTATCAGCAAAGCCTAAATTTAGGAAACAATTTGTAACTATAGTGTGCTTTTTGAATTCTAATGTTGCTTTATAAATTCACTCGTGGAGCGATCAGAGGAATAAACTGGAACTAGAGGTGGGCAGAAACTGAACAATGAACCAGAAAACTGATGAATTGGCCTGGTTTGTGGTTCATTTCAAAGCAGGGTTCTTGTTTTGCTGAAACAAAATGAAGCACCAAACTTTTCCCACATTAGTATTGCATTTTGTTGGACAAACGGGGGATGCCGCCTGTCCCTTTCCCACTGCCCCTGTTGCCTCCCTAACCTGGTCCTGCCGCCACCACTGTCCTCAGTGGCAGCTGGCCCGACTTCCCTTCCTGGAGCAGCAGGCCAACTCCTTGAAGCCAGGCACAACACCTCTGCGCATGTGCCAGCCTATCAGCTGGGCGGTGGGCACATGCACAAAAACAACAGGCTGGGCTCCAAAGCCTGGGGGGGACAGGCCTACCGCCTCTGAGAGTGGAGATGGTGGCAGGAGCAGGTCCAGGCATGGAGGCAAGGGGGAAGAGGGAGCAGGAGGCAGAGCGCAGGAGCAGGTACGTTCCTCCCCCCCAGCATGAACCATCCCGATTCATCGTTTTTCTGGTTCATGCCCATTTCTCAGTGGAACTTGGGGCAGACCAGTTTCTCTTTTTTATTGGCCTATGAAATGTTGTGATGTTTTAAAAGAGAAATTGATACCTATAAAATAAGACAGGGGTGTTTTCCTTCTAAGGAAGAGGGAGCAAATACAGGGGACCATCAGCATGGTTGGACCTCCTCACCAGCAACCTCCTGCATGATTCTGCACTTCCCTTTCCAGTTCAGCTTCTATTAGCCCAGCTGACATAAATCTGGCTGAATATGGGTTGTTGTTTTGTTGGCAGTACCAATTTTAAAGCAGTAGTGCTGGGTAGAGAAGTTTAATCCACCCCAGCAGAAGTGGATAAAGTCCCTCCTGGAAGGAACAGAAGTGTCCTGCCAGGCTGCTGGAGATCTGTGGTGCAAGAAGGCATAAGGAGCCGTTGCAGTTGCACCAAGGTTTAGGTGGCAAGCTTGGCAATGGCTGCTGGTTTTGCCAACAGTGTGGTCTCCGCTTGCTTTTGGGGTGTGCAATGATCCTCCCATACATTCATCTGGAAATTGCCTCCCATTGCTCTGAACCAAAATTCAGCTATGCTGGCCACTTTCTGAGAACCCTAATCTGCCCTTGCGCTACCAGATGACAGTTCTTGTTGTCAGGGCTTACAGAAATCTGCTACTTTAAATGTGATGAAATATTGTCAGAACAGGGGCAGTCATTTTACCCCGCTTTGAAGAGATGCAAATTCATTCATTCCTTTCAACTAAGGCCCGCCCTTTTGCCCATAAAGGGACTCAAGGGGGCTAACAAAAGATTTAAAAGACAAATGCTGCAAAAATGCAGTAAGTTAGAATATTAAAAGGAAATTAAACATCTTGGCTGAAATCCTGTTCTGCAACTCTGCTTGCACAACAGGAATGGCATCACCAAACTTCATTGAAGCTTTAAGATTGCTGCCCTTTCCCTCTCCTCTCCAAAGATTGTACTTATTTTGTCATTTATATTTTCTTTTCTGTGCTCTTCATTGTAAACATGAAAACTGAACGTAACAGAATCTAATAGAGCTGGATTTTATATAGTATCAATGAGATATAAATACGTTTCTGATATTCTTGTGAGTGGTGAGTTTTGGAGAAAAGAAATGCTTTATTTATTTTCTACAGATTTGAAAATACAAGAAAGTGGGATTTCCTTTTAATGACCAGTGTTTTCATTTTTAGTCTTGCATTTAAAATAAGCTACCCCTGGTGGCGCTGTGGGCTAAACCGCAGAAGCCTGCGCTGCAGGGTCAAAAGACCAAGCAGTCGTAAGATCGAATCCACGCGACGGAGTGAGCGCCCATCGCTTGGCCCAGCTCCCGCAAACCTAGCGGTTCGAAAGCATGCAAGTGCGAGTAGAGTAATAGGCACCACCTCGGTGGGAAGGTAACAGCGTTCCGTGTCTAAGTCACACTGGCCATGTGACCATGGAAGATTGTCTTCAGACAAAACGCTGGCTCTATGGCTTGGAAACAGGGATGAGCACCGCCCCCTAGAGTCGAACACGACTGGACAAAAATTGTCAAGGGGAACCTTTACCTTTACCTTTACCCCTGTCTTTTATTCCCGATTCTCAAAAAGGCAGTGCCATAGATATTTTCAGGATGTATTTAAACATGATTAATTATGTAGTTAAAATTCAGTTTAACATGGGGTTTCAGAATTAGCATCTTGACCATTTGGCTGAGCCTTGCCTTTATCCCTTCACCTTACTTTAGCTGCTGCCTTTGCCTCCCTTCCTCCCCTCCTCCCTTTTTTCTTCCAGGGCAACTCCCAGACTACACAGATCTGCCTGGGTGAATCATCAGAAATTGAAGAAGAGTACAAGAAAGACCAGAGATTAACCGAATGGGCTGGAGGAGGGGGTGGTGGCGGAGGAGCAACATACATCTTTAGGGTGAGTTTTCTTCTTTCTCTCTACCCTTCTCCTAAAAAGCATCTTGAGAAGCAACTGAACCTCTGCAGCACCTATAGGAGGGCCATTTTAAACAAAACAGATGCAACTTATACAAGGACTGTAGCATTTATAACCTGATTGTAAGCACACCTCTACCTCATCTGTTGAGATTCACAGTACTGGAGGCCACTGGGAATGTTCAATGCCAAAGTGGAATCTCTCCACTTGGTCTAGCTGACCTACAAATCCAACATCTTCCACCTAAAGTATGGCATTTTCTGGGACTGAATATTGCTCTTCTGTGTTCTCTCTCCAGACCTCTGGACTTCCTCAGAAAATTCTGTCCCTTTCTTTATGATTTCTGCTGTTTGTTGTTTTCGCAGCATTTGTATAGGGTTTTTAGGTACGGTCAAAACTGTATTTGCAAAGGCTTTCACGGCTGGGATCTAATGGTTGTTGTGGGTTTTTTGGGTTCTTTGGCCGTGTTCTGAAGGTCAAAATTCCTTACCTAAAAATGATGGGGGATAAGAGGTATGGGCAAAAATAATGTTGACATTTACCAATTACCAGTTACCTTGAGAGGTGCTGAGTGCTCCAACACTGGAGGCATTCAAGAGAAATTTAGACAACCACCTGGCAAATATCCTTTGATTTGTACCGGGGGCAGGTGGGCTCAAAGGCCTTATAACCCCCTTCCAACTTTATGATTCTGTGATAATATGACCTACCCTTTGGCTCCAACCAATACCACTGAAGTGTGGCCCCTGAAAACTTCTCTAAAATGAAAGTCAGCCCTTGGGCTGGCATAGCTTTCCCACTTTTGATGTAGATGTCCAGCGTAGGCACTGCATAAGCTTTTAATGGAAATACATGTAAATAAACATTTTTCAGTATCCTACAGTTAGGGATTTCAACATCTGAGTAAGTCTTGTGCATTACAGCCCCTTTTCTTCTTTAGCCTATGCTACCCTGTGGTTTCGGGGTTCTTGCTGTTGTTGTTTTTAACTGTATAATGTTAATATTATTACCTTGGGTCACTTGTGAGCTATGCTATTCATGTGCTCATGTGACTCTGTTTTTAATAGCACACACAAATGGCAAAAACCACCAAGTCTATGTTTTATTTTACCTGCTATATCATTATATATTTTTTCTCTTAAAAAAACACAGAGAAATTTTTTGTGTTGCTTTCCGAATACAGTGCACACATATTTTCTGTCACTGACGCTGAGATTGTAGTATAGTTTTCATATGTCTAAGAAGCTTGAGAAGGGCTTTCCAATTCACATCAGAAATGGAATCGGAAACCTGCTCCTCTGAATAAAGACTGTAGTCTCCATTTTGAAACTCAGTTTAAGCAGAGATGCCTGCCCTGCACTTGTTGCCAATATCCTTTTAGCTTTTAAGCAGCAGCACACTTTTTTTAAATGCACAGTGCATAGCTCTGAGGTGCCCAGCCTGATGAGGATCTCTATCAAAGGCTAATTTCTGTTTATATACTTTTAGTGGACGAGTAAATGTATTATTAACCCTTATTTTTGCAGTGGTAAGACAGTTTAAATATGCAGGGTAACTGTGCTGCAAAAGAAAGCATGCCTGTTTTTAATTGCCCTGTCCACAGATCCTTGAAAAAGCCCTAACAAATTATGTTTCACGGGAATTTTCACGTAGTGTACTAGACAGTGGAATCCATGGTCTTCCAAATATTGGTGAGCCTGAATTTCCACAAAGCCAACCAACATGGCCAGTGGCTAAAAATGATTGGAGCTGTAGTCTGAGATCTGGTGGACCACAGGTTCCTCACCCCATACTTGATGCTGTGTTCTGTGGACTGTAGCAGCTGCCTGTTTGTGTTAGTTTCATATTAAAAAAATTATGTCTTTCTGTATTGCATGTGTTTTCCATTAATTTTGCTTGAGTTTTCTTGTATAAATTGGTACCTGATTTTGAACCTGATGTATTTCTTTAATGCAATTAAATGTGAACATGTGTGTGCTTTCTCAAGCAGCAGAAGGATGGAGGTTTTGAGCCGTTGCTGATTGCAGCAGGAGGTGGAGGGAACGCTTACTTAAAAGACCTGGATGGCTCCTTTGATGATGTGTTTTTGGAACAGTATGTGAATAGCACAGCAGTACCTGGAGTCAATGGGAGAACTGGGGCAGCAGGTGAAGAGCTGTAGGTGATAATGTACATTTCAATTAGCAGCTGAACAAACAACATCTGGAGAACTGAAATGCTAGGAATATTTACGGTTTGGACTGCCATCAATAATTGGAAGGGGAGAGATAACTTAATTGCTTGCAAAAATGGACCCCAGATTTACAGTCATGTGAAAAAGAAAGTACACCTTTGTATTCTTTGGTTATACATATCAGGACATAATAAAAATCATCTGAGTCTTAGCATGTCTGAAAATTAGGTAAATACAACCTCAGATGAACAACAATGCAGGACATGTTACAAAGTGTCATGATTTACAAAAATAAAGCCAAAATGGAGAAGCCATGTGTGAAAAATTAAGTATACCTTGTGATTCAGTAGCTTGTAGAACCACCTTTAGGTAGCTTATAGAACCACCTTTAGCAGGAATAACTTGAAGTAACGTTTTCTATGTAACTTTATCTGTCTCTCACACTGTTGTGGAGGAATTTTAGCCCACTCTTCTCTACAACGCTGGTCCAGTTCATTGAGCTTTGAGGAAATTTGTCCAATGGCTTTCAATGGAGAATAAAAACTGGTCCAGTTCATTGAGCTTTGGGGAAATTTGTTTATGCCCAGTTCTCCTGGGGTCCGTCCAGTTGAGGTCTGAGACTAAGCCATTGCAAAACCTTGATTCTTTTCTTTTTTTCAGCCATTCTGTTGTAGTTTTTTTTGTGTGCTCGGGAACACTGGCCTGTTGCATGACCCAATTTTGGCCAGGTTTCAGCTGTTGGAAAGATGGCCTCACATTTGACTCTAGAATATTGGTATACAGAGGCATTCAGGGTCTTGCAAGGTGCCCCAGTCATATGGATGCAAAATAACCCTAAATCATCACCCCTCCACCACTGTGCTTGACAGTTGGTATGAGGTGATTGTGCTGAAATGCTGTGTTTGGTTTTCACAAAATGTGGCACTGTGCATTATGGCCAAATATCTCCACTTTGGTGTCATCTGTCCAAAGGACATGGTTTCAGAAGTCTTGTGGTTTGTCCAGATGCAACTTAGCAAACCTAAGTGTAAGACTAATGGTGAGAGTAAGATTCCTCTCATGGGAGTGAAAACAGGAGCCACACACCAAACCCTCACACTAAGCCATGCTGCATTGTACTTTTTAGGGAGAAAAGGCTTTCTCCTTCCAAACAAACAAGGAAGTACAAACGCCACCTATTCACCATCCCAGGAAGATAAGACTACCTGGAAGAGACCCAGGGATTGTAAAAGAGAAGTTGAAGGAAATTGATGGTTAAAGAAACCGGGACTGTTTTAGTGGGAATGGAACGGCAGCCGTGAGTAGAGGTGGAGGCAGGGCTTGTAGATATAAAAGGGGGGGACGGGAATCTGCCTCGTGGTTGGGAGTGGATTTGGTTGGAAGATCCATGGACTGGGAAGGTAGAGAAATTAAAGGTCCCAAAGGAGGAGGCTGATGCTAGAAGGGGAAGTGAGAGCACCCCTAAACCATCTTATTGGGGAGGATGAGAGACGAAAAAGTGGAAAAGGAAGTTAAGGGAAGAGAAGGAGAAGGTGGAGAGAGAGGAGAGAAAGATTGGAATGGCGGATGATGGAGCTACAGTGGAGGGGTCCATCGGAAGACTCTGGCCAGAGGATTCCGCCTCATGAGACCAGGTTTGGACAGATGACCAGGACAAGGACACAGTCCCCTTACTGGAAGGGGAGACAGGACAATTATTGAAGACATTACACTGGACTGGCCAGATCCTTGGAACCCCTTTAAGGCTGAAGAGTGGAAGCCCCTATCTAACCAGTTGCTAGAGGGAGGAAATGTTTGGAATACCTTTGTTGACACAGGTTATTTGTTAAACAATCGAATGAATGTTACACCGATTTCTAAACCGAAGAAGTTTGTCAATTTATTTGAAGAAAAACAGGAGCCAGACACCAAACCCTCACACTAAGCCAAGCTGCATTGTATTTTTTAGGGAGAAAAGGCTTTCTCCTTCCAAACAACCCCTACTTGTTCCACCTTTTTCTAATTGTACTGTCATGAATTTGAACATTTAACATGGTAACTGAGGCCTGTAGAGTCTGAGGTGTAGCTCTTTGGATTTTTGCAATTTCTCTCAGCATTGGACGGTCTGACCTTGGGGTGAATTTACTTGGACATCTGCTCCTGGGAAGATTGACAACTGTCTGGAATATTTTCTACTTCTAAATAATCTTCACAACAGAATAATGTACTTTAATTATGTGTTTCCTCCTTGACATTCTATTAACACACACCTGAATGCTCCAGACGGGTAAACTGCTAAAAGTTCAGCTTTTATAGAAGTGGTCACACTTGCGGTAAACTGCTAAAAGTTCAGCTTCTATAGAAATGGTCACACTTGCTGATTCAAGGGCATAGCAGTACCTGGCTGCTACTTAGCCTCTTGATTCCTATGGAAGCAGTAAGGATGTACCTAGTTTTTCACCCATGGCATCTCCATTTTGGCTTTATTTTTGTAAAATAAATTATGACACAGTGTAATATGTCATGTGTTGTTGTTCATCTAAGGTTGTATTTACCTAATTTTCAGACTTTCTAAGAACCAGATGATTTTTATTATGTCCTGATATGTAAAGCCATAGAATTCAAAGAGAGTGTACTTTCTTTTTCACATGACTCTAAATACAGAGAAGCTGGATAATCATTAGAGATTTTGGATACTAAAAGAAGGATATTGCTTAACTTGGAAACTGGTCAGATGAGTTCATCTTTATAAGGCAAGAAACCAATAGAAAATAATTGGCTTATTGATGGGATGTAATCTATCATTACCAGTGTGTTCTACTGGTAAGATGGACAAGGCTCTATTTCAGATATATGGACAGCAGAATTGAGTTTGCATTACAAGAGGAGTGGTCATCAGAATTCTCAATCCAAACATGATTTTAGAAAAATAACAGTCTTGATGCACAGGTATTCTGCAGTTTTGGTCAACAATAATAGAGATTATCTGGCTACCAGAACATTCCATAATTCTCTTTTAAATAATTGAATCTTTAATCAGTTTCCAAAACCAACTGATAGAAAGCTTACAGCATTCTCAGAAATGTTACATAAACTGGCTATATATTATCTGCATATATGTGGGGGGAAATGGGAAATGTTTTGCGGAATATTTAAAAATGTTTTCCTGCCCATCAGGTCCTGCAGAGTGATTTACACTTGTGCTTTGACAATTGATCAGTAAATTAATTTAAACGTCAACATCTCTCTGTGAAAGCTGCGATGTATCTCATCTTACTCTTTTTTCCTTATGTTCATTTGTGCAGGTGGAGGTGGTGGTTGGGAAGATATCACCCAGTTTCCTTGGTCAGGGAAGTCACTTAGGGAGGGAGGAGAAGGTGGTGAGGCCTGCCAACATGCATTAGAGAAACTTCAGTGGACCACCTCAGGTGGTTTTGGTGGTGGAGGAGGAGCATGTACATCTGGTGGAGGAGGTGGAGGCTACAAAGGTATGTTAAAAGCTGCAGTATGTAATATTTGACCCTCTAGATCAGTGTTTCCCAATCTTGGGTCCCCAGATGTGCTTGGACTTCAACTCCCAGAAATCCTGGCCAGCACAGCTAGTGCGGAAGGCATCCAGAAGTTTTAATCCAAGAACACCTGGGTAACTTAAGGTTGGGAACAAATGCTCTAGATGTTTTATACATCAGCTTCTAGAAGCCTGATCCAAGCTGGCCAATGACCTGGAATTCTGGGAGATGATGTCCATAACATCTAAAGGGCGAAAGGCTGAAAACCACTGATTTAGACTATACTGTCAGTTGATATCATGCTACATCGAGGTTTTAATCCAAGAACACCTGGGTAACTTAAGGTTGGGAACAAATGCTCTAGATGTTTTATACATCAGCTTCTAGAAGCCTGATCCAAGCTGGCCAATGACCTGGAATTCTGGGAGATGATGTCCATAACATCTAAAGGGCGAAAGGCTGAAAACCACTGATTTAGACTATACTGTCAGTTGATATCATGCTACATCTTGATTTTACTTCATTTAAAGTTTACTCCATCCACCAAAGTTCAGTACAATCAGGGACAGAAAGAAAAGGACAGTAGTATAACAAGAAGCTGTGGTGCAAATTTTCTTTTATTCCACTGCATAAAGATGTTCAGATCAACAAACGTAGCTTTCAACATTCCAGGAAATAGTGCACACATCTGTATAGCAGTCTCTTGTGTTTTGGATAAACTGACATATAAGGTATTTTGGATAGTGTACAATCAGATGAGAAAGTCAGATAAAAATTGAGGGGCTGCAAAGAATTTGAGTGTACAGTTGATCATCTCAGTTTACCATCTTTGCCGAGGGAACATAGGGGCAGCTGAATCACAATGTTGGAACTTCCAGTTGAAGAAAATATTACTCTGGTAGTACCCAAGAAGGGAGGGGGAAAGTCCAGTAATGTGATCTTGGCACAGAACTCATTTGTTAATTATAGTAAACTAGCAAGACTGGTTGTCATAGTATTTCCTGATTGTACGATGTCAGCTTGGAACTACATTATCTGAAGGACAACCTACATCAGTAAGCATGTGTTTAAGCCCTGGGAGCCACAGAAATCTGGCTCACATGCTTGCCAGTCAGATCTATTAGATTTGTGGACATGAGAGACAGGGCCTTTTTGGTAATGGCCTCAACTTTATAAAATTGCCTGCCTCAGGATGTGTGCGTGGCTCCTTCCAAGCTGTTTTGAATAGGCCTTAAGGACACTGTTTATCTCAGGCTGCTTTTAATTAAATGTAGTTGCATCATTTCTACTGTACTTTTTACTGTTGTGGCCATTTTAGAGATTTTATGTTGTTCACATTTACTGTAGAGTAGGTCCCATCCCCATATCCATGGGGGATTGGTTTCAAACCCCACCCTACCCCGGCAGATGCTGGAAACTACAGATAATAGCAAACGTTATAGATAGCATGGTAAAAGAAAAAAATCTAGTAAAATATATTCACAAGCATTACTAGAATGTACTGGGCACTAGAGAACGCCAGAAACCATGCTATGTAATCTCTGACAGCAAGGATTCATAACATGGTATATCTCCCTCCCTCTAGTGACCAAGTCTGGTAATGCATATGAAAATATTTTTCCTGGATTTTTTTCTTTTAATGTTTTTAATATTTTCGAACTGGAGATAAGTGAAAGCATGGATACTGATCCCTCAGATATGGGGGGCCTACTGTGTTCTATATTTTATTATTTTAGCCTCTTACTCTGTGAACTGTTTTGGTGAGGCACTCCCCTAAAGAGTGGTATAGAAATCAATTAATTTGTAAAGTAATAAGTCCAGTTTGCAAGGGTCTTGTGATAAATTGGTATACAGTCTGCAGACCCCCCACATGGTCCTTTGTGGGCACATCGGAAACCAGATGTTCTCTCCTTTGCTTAGGTGGTCATGCCTCTGAAACAGATGACATCACAGCTGATGGACAGCATGGCATCTCCTTTGTGAATCCAGTTGGGGAGGTCTTCTTGAGTCCCCTAGCAGGTGAAATTTATTCCCACTTTCTTTTCCCTTGTAGTGTGTGCACCCATGGTGTTTGTTGTTTCTCTTATTTATGTAATGCATATTCCGCATTGTGTCCCTGTTTTAGGGCACAACACAGTCTGGGGATATTAAATGTGCTGATGCAGTACCTCCCGGTCATACAAGAACTATTCCAGTCCTCATAAATCATTCCTAAATCAAAACGCGTCCGGCAGCACAGAACAGAAAATTTGCAACAAATTGCTACAAAAAAATCATTCCTAAATCAAATCGCGTCCAGCAGCACAGTCTGAAGAGAAAATTTGCAACAAATTGCTACAAAAAAAGAGATATGCATACAAGGAATGGCTGGAAATTGCTGCCCTCCATATCTTAAGTTCAAAAATATTTTACTGTTTCAGCCCATCTGGTCCTATGTGGCTTATTTGGACAGCACTGTCTGTCTCTTTTGGCAGTGAGTATAGGCAAGCACATGCTCCACAGGATCGTATCAATTTATATGGAAAACACAGTACAGTATCTGGAGTGAGAGCCATCCTAATCTGTGGCAGCAAAAAGAGGAAGAAAAAGAATTAGGTTTGCAGTTCCATAAAGACCAACACATTTATGATGGTGTAAGCTTTCATGGCTTAATATATGCAGTTTGCTAGATGCATTGAGTGCTGCAGTGGGATTTCTTTTTCTTTCAACAAGAAATATATTGCTTTTGAAGTAAGTCTAATGGTTAGATTTTCAGACTTTTGGACTTCTTTATGGATGCATTTCATTCCTGTAAATACTGGCTAAGCTCTACCTGGGAGCTTGAGAAGAGGACATGGTGAGGAAGTAATCCCAGATCACTCACTTCCTCCTTCTTCAACTCACTGGAGGAGGTGATAGCTTTCCTCTATTGATGGATTACAGTAGTCCCCTTTTAAAGCTCTTGTCTCCATCCATGTCTTTCTCGTCCAGTTATGGAGAGCCACGGTGAAGTGCTGATTGAAGTCTATGTGAACTGCAACCACTGCCAGTCAGGTGTCTGCAAGCAAGGTCCTGACTCCCATCTGCCCATCTGTATTTGTGTAGATGGTGCTGTGTTAGCCAGTGACAATGTGTCTTGCACAGGTAAAGCATGGAATGTTTTTCCAAAATGAAACGTTTTATTTCTTGCTTTCTTCTAGCCTTACTGAGAGTACAGATTAAAGAGGGTGGGCTGTCTAGTCCATATTTCCACCCTTTCTCCTCAGTTGTAGAAAGGAACAGTTTTATTGAATGTGCTGGATGTGCTAGCTCTGTTCTGCTTGTGTTTGTATTGTTTGTATTGTTCCAGTTCTAATCATTGTTGTCATTATCACTGTAAACAACCTCAGGCGTTGGAAGTATTTCTTATAAAACAAAATTATATAGTTCTGGTCTAAAAATATTGCAGTTTAAAAGGGATAGGGGTTAAATATCTCTTAGCACCACCATTTAGAGCACCCGGGATTCCAGGATGATTACTCAGATTACCTTCGACAACAGATTTCTATAGCAAAAATATTTTATATGAGAGATTTACAAACGGTCTGTTTATTTGACTGGAGCTCCCAGCACTGGTGACAGTACCACTGCTATTTGTATTTAATTATGCCTTTTTCTATGTTGGTACCAGCATGCTAAGATATGTCACCACTCCTCCTAAATATTTCTGCAGCCAGCTGTCCAGACACCAACAACTCATTTAAAATCAGAGCCCCTATGTTCTTTACTGTCAGCTAGCTGGGTAGCTTAGAGAGTGAGGCAAAGCCAGAGGTTGAGAGTTCAAATCCCCACTGTGCGTCCTAGAAGAGCCTGTGTGGCCTTAGACAGGCTGCACAGTTCCAGGATGACTGCAGAAGAAGGTAACAGTAAACCTAGAAAACCTTGAAAAGATCACCATAAATCAGAATTGACTTTTCAGCAGATTAGTAGTAGTAGTAGTAGTAGCAGCAGTAGATGATTCTACACTACCATTACAATGGACCCTCGACTTACAGGATTAATTTGTATTGGAACGGTGGCCGCAGGTTGAAAGGTCCGTAGGTTGAGGGTCCATTTCCCATAGGAATGCATTGAAAACCATTTAATCTGTTCCAGCCAAAGAAAAAAAATCCCAGGTTTCCAAAGCTGCCCCCACTGCCCTCTGCCTTCTGTCTCCGCTGCCCTCTGCCTCCTGTCCCCGCAGGGACAGGAGGCAGAGGGCACCGGGGACAGGAGACAGAGTGTAGCGGGTGCAGCTTTGGAAGCCCAGGACGCCGAAAGTCGCTCTGTGCCCGCTGCCAGCTTTCAGCTTTCAGGGCTTTGAAAGCTGCACCTCTTGTCTCCTGTCCCCAGTGCCCTCTGCCTCAGGAAACAAGGCAGCCTCAGGCAGAGGGTACTGGGGACAGGAGCCAAGAGGGCAGCGGGGGCGGCTTTTAATTTTCCGCCCTTTCCCCCCTGCATTTTGTAGGTCGAAGCTCCTTGTAGGTCGCTCCTGCCTTTTGTAGGTCGAAGCTCCTTGTAGGTCGAAGCTCCAGCTGCAAGTCAAACTAAAATTTTTCAGCCAGAGCTTTTCATACCTTGAAATTTCCGTAAGTAGGGACCTTCATAAGTCGAGGGTCTACTGAGTACTTTGTCTAAAATACAAAGTGGAGCTTGGTCTTGTCTGTTATACATTAGAGCGTATCATTTCCAGTTTTCCACCAATCATATCAGATCTAAAATATGAAGAACTGGTAGATGCAATTATTTTTTCAGCCCACTGCTTTCATAATTGTGTTCTTTTCAAAGTAATGTATACTTAGGAATTACTATTGGATTTTGCTGTATAGTATATGCCAAAATGTATTGTCTAACAACACATCTGGTAGTAGCAATCAGGGAACGGGAGAAAGGAAAGTCACAATTCCTTCCCATGGAATGCATGAGTGGCTGTTAGCTAGAACTGTTGAAGTCTGTTGTGCCTTTGATTAGCGAATTCTGCAGAGGGAAGGGAAGAAAAATAAATGGAATGGTACCCTCCATTTTGCTCTGCTTTGGAGCTTCCCAGCAGATTCTGTGGTTGACTGTCTTAGAAATAGATTCCCAAATCCAGCAGTTAACTTCAAACAAAGCTGAATCAGTGGAACTTACATGAATATTGATTTACCAATTTTTTATTCATTCAGTGAATCTTTTCTAGTAGGGACTGAACACTGGATTCAAGTCAGAATGCTGGAATAATCAGAGTTTCATTCTAGTAACATTTAATCAACACTATTTATAAGACACACCATACAAGAGCTGTGTGTGCATGTTGATAGGCATTTGTTTTTGTGTTTCAGCAGTCATTCATGGGCCCATCCCAGCAGGACATCTGCCTCTCCGACTTCTTTTGGCTGTGATTGGTGTTGTAGTGGTGCTTGGAATGGTTCTCACCTGCGGCAGCCTATCTCTTGGTAAGAAGCATCTAGTTCATACTCTACATCTGCTGGTTTCAACCATTCACATTCATGAACTTTTTCTAGTATTTATCAGTGCTTTTAAGGTTTAATATAGGCCCAAGAGAAAAGCTTGGAGGACCGTGGATTAGATCTGGAATTCTGAAGAAGAAAGGGAGATGCAATTTCCTCTGTTTTCCTCTACCCTCTGCAGTCTCTTGTGCTTCTGGAAAAAGCCCTGCTTTACACATTTGTAGGACTGTGAAAACTAGAGTTGTGTAGATTTGTGTATTTGGCCAACAATATCCAGTTGGCACTGGCCATGCTACCTAGGGAATTTTGGGAGCTGTAACCCAAAAGCAAAGATCTGCACAGGTCTTCTCCAGACTGTCATGACAGGCAAGGCTGGCGCTGCAGAAGGAAGAAGGAACAGGAACTCTTCCAACTATGAAGGGGAAAGTCTCAGTCCAAACTAATGCAATAGTTAGAAAAAGAAATTTCTCAAAGGAGCAAAGAGCAGCCCGTTGGTCATTAGGAATCACAGCATTGTTCACCTATTTGGTGAAAATGGCAGCAATAATTATCAGTGCCTGAAAAATTCACAAATATAGTGAACAAAAGGAAAATGGAAGGAACAAGTTAATTGAATGTGTGTCAGGTTTCCTGATGTATGTGACAGTTGTCAGCATGAAGGTGAAGTTGGTTGCTATTGTTTAGTCTATTTCTTGAAAAAGAATGACAACATTGCCATTGAATGAGGATGACGCATCACTGTTGTCTCTGAGGAACACATCACTCAGAAAGCTGTGGGAAAAGAGTGGAAGTTTGGCATGTTTCAGAAAGGATTCAGACTGCTGTGACAGTACGTTCCATCTGGAGTGCAAGAGCTAGGGTAGACAAGGTAAAGTGCTAGATCCAGGATTTCCTTATGAAAGAGGATCTGTTTGGTTTGCAGAAATCCCCTCCCTCTTACCACAGCTCCTTGTATTCAGCCAGTGCCCTAGCCTGCTATGTAGCATTTCTAGGCTGGAGTGGCTGCATTGCAGAAGGTCTGGGAAATTCAATTTTTGCCAGCCCAGTTGCATATAAGTAAATCCAAGTCCAACCCAGTGTTTTGAGCTTCCTGTATTATTTTATTCACTCTTGAACAGTTCTTAAAAATATTGGGGATGTTACAGGAGTTGATTTTTCCCCCTTAAGCTTGATTAAGGTGTTGTAGATTTGTTTGTTTCATTTTTCTACACAATGGCCAATTTCTACAAAGTTTCTTAAGCAGTCTCAAAACCATAGATTACTTAAAATTTTGCAACAGAATTTCAGTTAAACGAGTGGTTTCCAGCCTTGGGTCCCCAGATGTTCTTGAACTACAGCTCCCAGAAATCCTGCCCTGCACAGCTATTGGTGAAGACGTCTGGGAGTTTTTTGCGCAGCTATTGGTGAAGACGTCTGGGAGTTTTAGTCCAAGAACATCTGGGGACCCAAGGTTGGGAACCATTAAGTTCAACATGCTCATCACATCATATGGAACACATTCTAATAAGGTTGGGTAGCTCATCTGTAGTGCTCTCATACAATCCTACAAATCAAGAAAAATATTTGTATAAAGCCATAAAAAAACCCAAAAGAGTTAGCTGAAATAGTGTCTCAGTTTCTGCACTGCTTCGTTTGTTCTTTCCATGTTTCCCCTTTTATCTCTGTATTGTTTCATTTTAGTTTATCATCGTAAGAAGCAGCAACTGGAAGGAGCGAGAGCCCGTTTGCAAAGTCCAGAATATAATCTGAGCAAAATTCGCACTTCCACCATCATGACAGATTATAACCCCAACTACAGCTTTGCAGGGAAGGCAACTACTCTCAGTGAACTTAAGGAGATTCCACGGAAAAACATCTCCCTGCTTCAGTAAGGCTTGAATATGATGCATTCCTGCTAATTGAGGAGGAGGAAAATATACTCCTGGGCCAATAGGGACAGCAACTTTTATATAAACTCTGGTAACTCTGTAATCAGTATGCTAAGTAGAAGTCCTAGAATTCTGCATAAGCTGTATGCCATGTATTTTGACTAGAAACAAACAACAGTGCTCAATTATGCCTTAAATTCAGACCATGCATGTCCAATCATCTTGTCTGAATGCCTCTTTTCATCAAGCACACACTTTAAAGGTGCCGTTGAAGAGCTTAGATTTGGATCCAGTTTTTCTGTTTGCTCTCTGAAAGTTTCTAAGGTATGTAGGATCCTTGCCTGCCACTGAGTAGGGAGCAGAATGAGCTCCAGGCCAAGCCTTCCTAGGGAGAAGATTCAAAATTCACCATCCCTGAGATGGTCTTCTTTATGGTTGCCACCATTGCTCTCGTTTCTGATCGCAGGAGCACTTGATCAAGGATCCTGGGTGATGGTCTCAGCACACAGGCAAGCATTTCTTCAGGTACCATCAAGTCGATTGGCAAAAGGAAAGAGGGACCGAGTGGAACCTGTATTGAGCCCTTGATAGTTTGGTGTTCTTCGCTCAGTTCTTGTTTTTAACGGAAAACTTCAAGGGGTTTACAAGAACCTGCATGAGCAAGACTGTTGCCTTTGTGTCTGGGAGGAGGGATCTCTAACAACTCTACTCTAGTTTTTCTTTATAGCCATAGAGACAAAATGCTAGCTGAGGGAGTTGGCTCGGGGAACATAACATGGAAAGGAAGAAAAAGGTTATGGCACTGAAAAGGCCTGGCTCTGAAAAGATAGCAAAATAAGCTCTCTTTCAAAAACCTGATTTGTTGAATGAATGACCTCTTCATATGTCATGTAGGTTCCACTGAGTCCACTGAGTCAATAGGTCTACTCTAGCTAGTACAAATCATTTAATTTACCTCCATATCAGCCACCTGGCTCATCCAGTCAGATATTACAAGAGATGCCAAGGATCCAATCAATTGAAGCACCTCCACTGGATTGCTCTTAAATTGTACTATACAGAAGTTCCCTCCAACCAAACACTCAGCTGGAGTAGTGTCTAATTTAGTGTTGCCATGCCAACAAAGAAAAACTCCTAAGGAGTGACTTGCTGTATGTTAATAGCGCCCCCCCCCCCCCCCAAGAGAAGATTAAGGCTAATTGTTGCAGTCCCTGGTTAACAAGAAGTGATTTCACAGGATTCTTAGAATAATATTTTATTATAGCCAATATTTTTACTATTATGGAAGACATGCCAGTGTTTTCATCAGTAATGTAATTCAATTTATGTTGACAAAAGAGGCCTGGTGACCTTGTCTTCTGGTTTTATAAGAAGGCCCAAGGCGCATTCTTAGATCATACAATAGCAGGAGAGCTGTTTGGCTTAGTCACGTAAAGCAGTGGTCATATTTTGTGTAAATGCTTTTTGAAGAGCACAGATATTTCTCAACCTGTCTGAAAGTCTTGGCCAAAATCTGAAGGAGCCTGTGATAGAATTCCTGCACACAGGTGTGTGCACTCAGTCAGGATTTGAGACATATTCTTGGAGGATTGGAATATAGAAGAAAGACATCAGAGTTTGCAGTTCAGCTTCAAGAGCATGCAGTTTGGTTTGGGGAGCACTGTTTCTGAAAATGCTAATGTGCTTTGAATGCTTGGCTGCTCCTCAGAATGGTATTTGCTAATAAGCAGACCAGAACGGCATAAGGCTCCAGAACTCCATCTGCACAACTAAGCGGCTCCTTATAGTAGTTGTTCTTGGACTTTCTTAGAATACAATAATATTTGCTTAACATAGATGTGGGCTATGCAGAAAGTCATGCATGATTGTTTCTCTCTTCTTGCTTCAGGGCTCTTGGACATGGAGCATTTGGTGAAGTTTACAAAGGGACGGTGGTCGGAATCACAGGGGATTCCAGCCCTTTGCAAGTGGCTATCAAGGCTAGTATCCACACCTAATGGCCAGAATTTATATTGCTTCTTTTTTTTCTTTCTTTGCAAGATAAATATCTCACTTTTCCACTGTGCTAATGAACAAGAGAGCTTACGAATCAATTTTTTAAAACAAAGTGAAATAAGAAACCATACCAAAAAAAAAAAATCACATCCCAGACTGAATAATCACAGTAGGAATGATGGACCAGGAAAGAAGCCACAGCTATTTGTCTTAAGTTCTAGAGATGGGATGATCACTTAAAGCAAGGGATTTTAAAAAAAAATCAAAGCATGTTCTGGTCAAAGCAGTTACATCATGACCAAGCCTGGTTCAACATGGGGCTTGCACTTCACCTATGATAGCCTTTTGCCCCTCTTTATTTCTGGAGTGGAGAAACATATCTGGGAGAATATGGGGAAATTGCTAGACTGTGGAGGGCTACAGTCAAAGCAGGCTCTAGTCAAAGCAGTTACATCATGACCAAGCCTGGTTCAACATGGGGCTTGCACTTCACCTATGATAGCCTTTTGCCCCTCTTTATTTCTGGAGTGGAGAAACATATCTGGGAGAATATGGGGAAGTTGCTAGACTGTTGAGGGCTACAGAGAAACACAATCAGCTCTCTTCCAGAAAATGACTTTTTCAAGATAGTTTATTAAGTCCCTCATTGCACAGCTCCAGAATGTAAGTTGCCAGGGCTATTGTTGCAGGGACAACATATTTTGTTATTAATTGCATTGTTCTCATTGAATACTTACTACCTTTTACCTAAGGTAACAAACTGAGTATTGCTAAGAGAATGGCATAAACTGTATTTTATTTTTACAACAAATCCCTTAAAAATACCCTTTAAAAGTAACAACAAGAGGGAAAATGTGGGAAAATTTGCTCAGTGGAGATGCACAGTTTACTTAAGCCATCTCAGTACAATTTGAGGTGTAGGTTTGTTGTTAAGAGCCTCGTGGCGCAGTGGTTAAACTGCTGTCCTGCATCCACAACTGTGCTCACGACCTGGGGTTCAATCCCAGGTAGCCGGCTCAAGGCTGACTCAGCCGTCTATCCTTCCGAGGTCGGTAAAATGAGTACCCAGCTTGCTGGAGGGGGGGGGGAATGTGTAGCCTGCATAATTAACTTATAAACCGCCCAGAGAGTGCTTGAAGCCATATACGCAGCACGCTTTTTACTTTGCTTTTTGCTTTTTGTTGTGTTCTCATTCAGTGGCAGCTGGTTCCCATGGCATTTAAAGGGACAGAACACATAACAACCAGCAGTGGCCTAATATAATTGTGAGTCTTCAGGCCCATACAGACACAAACACACAGTGATGCCAAGAGAAAGGCAGGCAAGCTTTCACGTGTACCAATGTTTTCTGCCTCTAATAAGGGAGGGGAGGCAGGATGTTTGGGGTAACCTGTACCTAAGGTGAAACATACCTTGATGGACAAGCCACCAATGCCTGTATTGCAGAAAATGAAGAAAAAGCAATGACTTGCAAGTAACTCGCAGTGTCACTCACAATCTATAACTTGCAAGCTCTGTTTTCCACTGGCAATAAACATGAATGTGGAACACCTTTTTGCCTCCAAAGAGAATGAGGTTTGGGGACAAGCCCTGTGGTTTCTGGCAGGAAGCAATCCTCTGGACATTTATGGACAACGAGGGGACCCTTTTTCTTTGAGGAAAGTCGTGGCAGGACGGAGAATTAACACAGAGGGGGCTGGGGTCATTTCTAGTGCAATGTACACATATTGGTTTGAAATGTGAAACTGGCAGGAGACGTGAGGTGAAGAAAACCTATTGGGCTTTGTAGATTTCACAAGGGAAGTCCTCTACCCCTATATGAGACGGAACCAACCAAGAGAAGGAAGGAAGCAGAACTGCATTTTCTTTTATTTGCTGCTGTTAGTATAGAGACAGATTGTGGCCAACCTTTGTGTGGGTGAGCACAACTATTCTCTGAAAACCCGTTTGAATATATATAGTCCTTCCTCTTCCTCTCTCTCTCTCCCTCTCCACAACCATGCCCACACAGACACTCCACAGAATTATCTCAGGCCATCAACAAGCCTTTCAATTGAATGTTTGTTAATAATAATCTTAGAATATAATCTTAGAATTGAAGAGCTAGAAAAGACCTTATACTAAGGATCTATTTAATGCCTGCTGATTGTACCAGATGTAAAAATATAACATCAACGTTATCATCATGTTATTTTAAGGATTTGCATTTTAGTTTTGTTAGCAGTCTTGGGGGGCTTTTGTCAATGAAATGAAATGAAAGATACTCTAATAAAAGACCTCAGTTGTCACACCTTCATTCTGTCTTGTGCCATTTAATTATGGAGTGGCGTTTGGTGGGTTTGTGTTTCTACATGATAATGTGTACAGCTGTGCTCTCTTCCTCTCAACAGACATTGCCAGAAGTCTGTTCTGAGCAGGATGAGATGGATTTCTTAATGGAAGCATTGATAATCAGGTATGTTTTTCACTCCTCCTTCAGAATTCCATATGAATAACAAGTCATGGCTAGAAATTAATTCCTTACTTCTCACCATCACCAGCTTGAATGGTTGAATGTGTTTTACAGTGGCTGAAATCCTGATGTGCAGTTACACAAATTGAAGTGAATTGCTCTGAGTTAATAAAGCTCCATAAACATGTTGCATACAGAATTGCATGAGTCCTCATGCAGCAGATAATGCTAGTGCAATGTCTTAACATGTTACAATTCACATCTAAAAGCTACGCCATTTGTGCAACAGGAATTCAGTCAATTATAACCTTCATGTTTGAGGCCATACAGAGCTTGTAAAAGTTTTGATTTCTTATTACAACTTCTCGTCGTCGTTTAGTCATGTCTGACTCTTCGCGACCCCATGAACCAGAGCACGCCAGGCCCTCCTATCTTCCACTGCCTCCCGGAGTTGTGTCAAATTCATTCTGGTAGCTTCAATGACGTTCTCCAGCCATCTCATCCTCTGTCGTCCCCTTCTCCTCTTGCCTTCACACTTTCCTAACATCAAGGTCTTTTCCAAGGAGTCTTCTCTTCTCATGAGATGCCAAAGTATTGGAGCCTCAGCTTCAGGATCTGTCCTTCCAGTGAGTACTCAGGGTTGATTTCCTTTAGAATTGATAGGTTAGTTCTCCTTGCAGTCCAGGGGACTCTCAAGAGCCTCCTCCAACACCACAATTCAAAAGCATCAATTCTTCGGCGGTCAGCTTTCTTTATCGTCCAGCTCTCACTTCCATACATCACGACAGGAAAAACCATAGCTTTGACTATGCGGACTTTCGTTGGCAAGGTGATGTCTCTGCTTTTTAGGATGCTGTCAAGGTTTGTCTTTGCTTTCCTCCCAAGAAGCAGGCGTCTTTTAATTTCGTGGCTGCTGTCTCCATCTGCAGTGATCATGGAGCCCAAGAAAGTAAAATCTCTCGATGCCTCCATATCTTCCCCTTCTATTTCTCAGGAGGTGATGGGGCCAGTGGCCATGATCTTAGTTTTTTTGATGTTGAGTTTCAGACCGTTTTTTGCACTCTCCTCTTTCACCCTCATTACAAGGTTCTTTAGTTCCTCCTCACTTTCTGCCATCAGAGTGGTATCATCTGCATATCGGAGGTTGTTGATATTTCTTCCGGCAATCTTAATTCCGGCTTGGGATTCCTCCAGTCCAGCCTTACGCATGATATATTCCGCATATAAATTAAATAAGCCGGGGGACAATATACAGCCTTGTCGTACTCCTTTCCCAATTTTGAACCAATCACTTGTTCCATATCCAGTTCTAACTGTTGCTTCCTGTCCCACATATATGTTTCTCAGGAGATAGATAAGGTGGTGAGGCACTCCCATTTCTTTAAGGACTTGCCATAGTTTGTTGTGGTCCACACAGTCAAAGGCTTTTGTATAGTCAATGAAGCAGAAGTAGATATTTTTCTGGAACTCTCTGGCTTTCTCTATAATCCAGCGCATGTTAGCAATTTGGTCCCTAGTTCATCTGCCCCTTCGGAATCCCGCTTGTACCTCTGGGAGTTCTCAGTCCACATACTGCTGAAGCCTACCTTGTAGGATTTTGAGCATAACCTTGCGAGCGTGTGAAATGAGTGCAATTGTACGGTGCAATTACAACTTCTAGAATCCCCCAGAAGGCATCTACTTCTGTTTCAATGTTTCTGAGAGACACTTTTCTTTCTGCCCTTCCATGCTTATATGCATGTTTGTTGAAAACACAAGAGAGGACCTTCTCAGTAGTTGTTCCCAGGCTATGAAACACCCTTCAGAATGAGACTAGGCTGGTTTCTCTGATGTGCTTCCACTTGCAGGCAGACATTTTATTTAGACAGGCATTTGGACACTAATTGACCTACGATGAAGGTCCTTCTAATGGTGGTGGTTGTTAATCTTCTTCTTCTTCGTTGTGTCTTCTTCTTTTAAATGATCTCTAAATTACATCAATTTGGTGTTTTATTTAATGTTATAATCTATGCAGTATTGTTTTAATATTATAAAGTATATTGGATATTTGTTCGTTTGAGCCAGTGTGGTGTAGTAGATTGAATGTCTGAGGAGGACTAAGAAGGACTGGGTTCACTATGGCTTATTTATTTATAATAATAATCTTGGAACTGCAGGGCTGGGAGACACTCTATAGATAACCATTGAGCTGCGACAATACTTTTCATTGTTTTGATGCAAGACGCTAACAGCCCACCCTGACCTCTAACACCTAAAACTTGTTTTTCTCGTAATAATCTTACAGTATTTTGTATTCTAGTTAAGCCTAACTGAGGGCAGGAATGAGGTGAATTCTCTTGTCAGATAGTACCCATGCTGTGGGATAGTATGCACACACAAGCCTCACACATACAATTGCAGTTTAGACCCAACCTATTACAATTTCTTCCAGGTTTTTACACATCAACATACCAAGCCAATGAAAGAGATTACATGATATATGACTAGGTTGATCAGTGTTAATTGCTTTGTGCCTCTCCATAGTTGTTTAGCATAAAGACCACCCCTGGAGGCATTTGTGGGAGGTTGTCTCCCCTCCTCTGTAACTCAAACAAGCTGCTGGGACCAAACCGATGACAACTGTCTGCCTCCCTCACAAACTGGTGGAGCTCTGAGTGACAACGGCAGGCGAAGACGTTCTTGTGCATTTTTTTTTAAATCTGGCCTGCAGATACTTTCAAATCTGTTTGAGTTATTAGCTACTCCTACTCAAGAAGGAAGTGCATGTTCAGATCTAGCACAATTTAGTTTTTATGGAACATTTGCTCTCAATGTTCCTTTTATAAGTACCAGAGAAGCATACATTATGTTGAAAAAAATTAATGAAATTAATTTAAATCTCTCAAAGCTTTCAGTAGGTAGCCATACAGTTTGGCTGCTGTTCCACAAGTCATGGCAGCAGAAGGACTGGGAGGATCAGTTACCTACCTCAAGGTCTCTTCCTTGCCTTCCCTCTGGTTTCTCCCCTGCCCCTCATCTTTTGCTGCCACCCAGGTTGTGTGTGTGTCTGGTCTTGATTTATCTCCTTGTCTTTACTTCCTGTCCAAACAACATAGATCTATTACAGCATCTAAAATACAGGGAGGAAATCCAGTTTTCAAATTATGGAGGCTGTCTTGCTGTCTAGAAGGAGTAGCTAAGAAGGCAATGCCAGTAGTTAAGCAGGATAATCCCTCTGTAATTTGAACTCTATAAACTTCAAAAAGTGGCAAAAGTCTGCTGGAGATGGAAAGAAAGGAATTGTACTTTCTGCCAATCTTTAGAAATTCCCCCCTTACAATACATTGTGCACTCCCCTCCCAAATATGCTCAAGAGTGTCGGGAGACCTCTGAAACAGCAAGGTAGATGGGGCTACAGGGCAAATTGGTGAAAAATGCTTCTTTTCCCCCTTACTGCCAAGCAAAAACTTTCTAAGCATCACGCGTGGGCATTCCCATGTGTGCAGTGAAATTCTGGATCCTACCCAATATGTTCCACTATCTGCAGGTAGTTCTTTAGCAAGAAAGGTTAAAATACAAGGAAAATAACAATTATAACAATGCAGCTAATTCGGTTTCCTCCAGTTAATTGAATTTTGTCATATTCGTAGAATTTATTGTAACTGATTGCATCCAGCACTTCTTATGAATGGGAGTAATCCTCTCTGGACACTTAGGGACGTCTTGGAATGAATTTAAATTAGAGGAGGAATTTAAATCCTTGAGGATTAAAGAACCTGGAAGGGAAGGCTGCAAGGGAGCTTCTTTAACTGACCTTTTTGAATCAGTAAGGATTCTATTTAATTCCATCAGCAACATAAATGTGGTAGTTAATGGATCAGGGCTACACCCAGAACTCAGAAGGCTCCTTGTTTAAGATCCAAAGTAGATTTTATTTTAAATGTGTGAATGTGTTTAGTGAGTCTGTTTTTCTCTTTTATTAATAGCAACCATGGCATTTGAGAGCAGGATTGAGACAATGGCATCTGGGATGGAATAGGTCCAACCCCAGTCATTCATCCCTTCACACTACAATCCCTTAAAAAAAGAGTTCTCTCCACAATCCACAGCTGCCCAGCCACTGTTAGCTCTGAGGGAAAGTTTCCAGTCAGGGAAGGGGCAGGATCTGTTCCCGATCATTCCAGAATGCAGGATATATAATAATGGGCTCAAGATACAGGAAGTCAGATTTCAGTTGAATATCAGGAAAAGAAACTCTGAACTATTAGAGCTGCATGACAATGGCGAGTGCTCCAAGACTGGAAGCCCTGAAGAGAAATTTAGATAACCATCTGTCAGATATACTTTGGTTTAGATCCCTGGATTGGGCAGAGGGTGACCTTATAGGCCCCTTTGAACTCCATTATGTTATGATACTATGAAAATGTTGCATCAGAACTTGAGTAATTTCCCTCAGATTTCTTCACATTTTTAATGGGTTTGGGTAAGGACCAGTGGCTATATACCAAATTCTATTCTTCATAACTTCCCAATTACCAAGCAAGAAGGGGCCTTTGGAGGGAGATTTAGGACTCATCAGTAGGCCACTTTGGAGACTAATAATGAGGTCTGTTCTCAGTAATATTTAGCCCTTCACCTGAATTAACTGCTGGTCAATTCAATTTAATGGAGCAATTCTCAGGTCTAACATTTCTGAACTTTCTAGTGTCAGAGAATGATGTCACCAGTGAACCAGAACATAACAAGAGGTTAAAGTCAAGGATATTAGCCTTTATCTAACAATGATTGCTATTTTCTTTCTTCTCTGCCACGCTGCTGTATGGGTATCTGATTTGCAGTAAGTTCAATCACCAGAACATTGTGCAGTGTATTGGAGTGAGCCTCCAGACTTTGCCTCGTTTCATTCTGTTGGAACTCATGACTGGTGGAGATATGAAGACCTTCCTTCGGCAGAATCGGCCTCGGGTGGTAAGTTAGCCCTTGCCTTCTCCTCTCCTTCTCTTGTGGTGTTTGATACCTTGTAGCTGATAATGGGGTTTATCATGGCTACCCACTCAAACTATCCAATGACTGGTTTCACACCATGAGGATACGCGATTAAACTAGTCACCATTATATTGGCCAGTTGGGCAAGGGAGCTGGCCACATTGCATTGTGACCCCTTCCCCTTACAGTTCTTCAATGATAAGGTGGTTTCCTGATTTGGGAATTGTCTTCCTTTTAATCAATATTTTTCCATTTGTGGATACACCTATTTTGCTTCTTTACTGATTTCTAACCTAAAGGTGTGGGAGAAGCAGACACACCCATACTCAGTTAGGGCTCAGCTGTTTTCACTCCCTGGTCAGTTTTCTTCTTTCCTCAATCAGTGAAAAAGAAACCTCGAAGAATTGTAGCACCAAAATATAATCTAAATAACATTCTTGATGAATTTAAAGTTCCACATAAAGAACTGACTTGCACTACTAAACTCATGTGACCGTGAACCAGAACAACTGTGGAACAAAACAAGAGATATTATCAGGAAATAAAGCAAAAAGACAACTTCTGTAGTGAAAAGAAAAACCTAGATGGAAGAAATGCTTAAAATTGCAAAGGACATGTGAGAAGCAAAAGTAAAAGGTGACAGAAGTAGGGCCAGAACCCTGAATGCAGTTTGTCAGTGATTGTCACATACAGACAATGAGAACTGCTACAGCAACCAGTGCAAAGAAACAGAGACCAACAAAAGAGGGGAAGCTGTTGAGTTAATAAAAATCTTGCATGTTTCCTAACACTGGGTATCAGTGGGAAGAGGGATTTGAGGACCTAAAGGGATTCCTCTTTCCCAGTAACCTATTGGTAAAGTTTTCTTCCCTCCCTCTGCCCTGCTCTTTCCTTTTTCCTGTTTGCTTGTTTCATTTCCTTTGTTTGTTCATCTCTCTCTCTCCTTTCCTGCACTCTGAGCATGCAAGAAGCATGGAAGTGTCTTGCAACTGCAAGTAAAAATACGAATTTCCACTTAAAAGGCTTCCAACGTTATTTTTAACACATAAAGTGCTAATTGCTGTAGAAAAGGTTGGGTTACTGAGACTTAAGCTATTATTTCACACTTTCTTTGTACAGTTATTGTTTATACCTGATGCTCTGTTAACTATAAACGGAATTAACCAAATTCTCCAATAGGTTATGGGCCCATGCACAGACAGACAGATCAGAGTGAGCAGCTTTGTTCAGGAAGATACCTAACCAGTATTTTAGGATTTCTTATTAGTTTTGCTGCAAGGTCATAAGACCAGCAGTTTGAATCTATGAGACAGAGTGAGCTCCTGTCGCTTGTCCCAGCTACTGCCAAACTAGCAGTTCAAAAGTATGTAAATGCGAGTAGATAGATAGGTACCACTACGGTGGGAAGGTAATGGCGTTCCGTGTCTAGTAGCACTGGTCACAGGACCACGGAAACTGTCTATAGACAAACGCAGGCTCTATGGCTTGGAAACGGGAATGAGCACCGCCTCCTAGAGTCAGACACGACTGGACAAATTGCCATGGGGAACCTTTACCTTTACCTAAGTATTTGCATTTTTTTCTCTAACCTCCCGCCACCCGCAAACTAAATCACATAATAGCTGTCTATTCATTTTTAAAACTCCTTTTTCTTATATAAGTAACCAAACCAAACTTGCTAAAAAATAAAAGGATGGATTCTGATCAGGCTAAAGGTTTTTCTGGAAAACTTCCAAAGCTTAATTCTGTTAACTTTTCTCAATGGAAGATCAGACTGCATGACTTATTTCTGAATGAAAATCAGATGATTGGATCATTGAATCAGGATGTACTGTACATAAAAGAGAATTCTTTGTTAGCTTACTTGTCTGAAAGACTCAATTTGTAGACTCAATTAGATTTAAAAGCTGAAAAAAGTACTTCATCTGTTTCTACTATGCATTCTCCATTTTCAAAATATATGGAAAGACCTTTGTCATCTAAAGCTGAAGCACTTAGCATGTTGCACTACACTCCAGGAATAAAATATCACACTGATAGATAGTTCACATCGTAAAATACTGCATCCAATTTCTTCCATACTCATGGAATCACCATTGATCATTTGAATATTTCCACCATCATGCTTATCTAGGGCAATAAAGAGGAATTTAAGCCTCGATTAGGAATGTTGAAACATCAAGAGGGTAGCACACTGCCCTACCAGGATAAAATAAAGAAAAGGTGGATATAGTCTACTGAAGACCTATACAGAAGAGATCAAAGGATGACAGATATTTTGTGTTGACCCTGAAACTGCTTTTTTATTATACCTGAAAAAATAATATAAAAAAATAAAAGATCCCACAACTGTTTGAGTTGCTGTGATTATTTTCACATATTTGAAGGGAACATTTGTTTTACTCCACTGGGGTATGAAATTGACAACATTATTAACATGGAGGGACATCATATCTGTGTCCCTGTATACAACCTCTTTTAATTTAGACAAAATGAGGTGACAACCTTGACCCATTGGACAAAATAAGTGAAAGAGTTTGTCAGGATTTAATTTATTCTTAAATATTTTAGGGGGGGGGGGAGAGAAGTAAAGTTTTCCACTTTGTAGTTCTAGATATCTTTCCCACAAATTTTGATTTGTGTTCCTTGTGTTGTTTTCTGTTGTTCTGCTAGTTTGTATATTTTCCTTTTATACCCAAACTCTGTTCTATGCTTCATCTCTTTTGTTTTCTTTTTCCTTGGTGGTACCTTATGCAGAATCAGCCATCCATTTTGACAATGCAGGACCTGCTCAATATAGCCAGAGACATTGCTTGTGGTTGCAAGTATCTTGAGGAAAATCACTTTATTCACAGGTAAGAGAGGGTGAAGCTCCTCTTTGCAATGTTTTCCTTGGTTTGTTTTCTAGGCAGTCATGGGTGTATTCTTCAGTACCCTGGACTTATATCTCCAATTACTCTTTTGAGTTGCCACATCTGGAGGCAAAATTTGGTTCAGATTTGATTTTCATGTTGGTAGAATAATGGGAGACTTACCAATTACTTGCTGTTAACTCTTTTGAGATAATGCCAAATACACATTAAAACTCATTCTGTGTGTTTCGGGAATAATCATGAGTTTCTGAGAGTACTGCATGCAGAGTTGTTACAGAGGTCAACACCAGGCAAGCTTCATTCCAGCTGACTCAGATCAATATAACATCTTTGCCAAAGAACATTCTATCAATAAGAAATGTCTCTTATTCTATAAATTCTTCATGGTCTCTGTGAATCACACATGTAGGTTGTTTCTGCACAAGTGCGAAACTCTTCAGAATATTCTAGAGCTTGAAGAAAAAAAATGCTAACAGATATCACTCAGTTCCCTTTAGCCACCACTGAGGATACTTCTTGGAGCATTGGCTAGAGCCTATTTTTAATCAATTTATTGAAATTTTCTTACTTGCTCACCTTGTTGTTCATCTTCTTCTTCTCATTGATCTTCTCTGTGAGTTATCAGACAGACAGACAGACAGACAGACAGACAGACAGACAGACAGACAGACAGACAGACAGACAGACAGAAAGAAAGAAAGAAAGAAAGAAAGAAAGAAAGAAAGAAAGAAAGAAAGCATTCTTCATATTTGAGATCCTATATCCTTTTATGTCCCTGGTCGGGCCATTTAAGAAGTGTGTCACATGCACCATCAAAATCCTCCTCACCAATGGACATTCTAAGTGTTCATACTGTCTTAGTGCGGGGTATCAGACTCAAAATTGCCAGTTTTGCTGCAAGGGTACTAAAGTTTTCATAAAAAATCAACAACCCTGCCTAAAAGTCTGTCTCTGAGAAAATCACTTCAAGCCGTAGAATCTTTATCTTAGCAAGCAACTTCAATTCCAGCTGTATTTGTTTGTAAGAAACCCTTCAAACAAATCCTCATTGAGGCACTTCAGTCAGAATCTACTGCTGTCAAAACTGAAGATGACCAGATATCACTGGAAATTGTATTTGCACAGAGAACATCACCTCTTGATCCCAAGGACAGACCTTCAACTTCAAGGGTGGCATCAGTATCAAAGGCGACCTCTTCTTCCATTTTGAAGAAGAAGAAGAAAATCACTGAACTTTGACATTACAGCAACAAAGAAACCAAAAGCAAAGCAGAAACCTAAGAGACCCAAAAAGTAACCGGTGACTCCCAGGAAGTATAGAGCTCCGTTCTCAGCCTGCAGATGAAGAACAGGAAGATCTGGTGTGCTTTAGGTCAGCCTCTGAGGATGATATTTCCCAGATTCACACTTCAACTCTAGCTTTTAGCCAGTCTCCAGAGTGGAGCCAGGTTACAGACCTCACCTTGAGTGAGCGTTCTCCATTACAGGGAAGCCCACAACCTAACGATTCGGCTAAGAGCTGAGACTGTTCACAGCCATCACTTTCCGAGTTGGCTTTGATGGTACAAGAAAAGAGTGCACCTAACTGTAAAAGTCTTCAAAAGACCCACTAAGAGCAAGAGGTCATAACAGAACCATATTACTATGATGCTTTGCGTCATTTTTGTTTTCCCCACCCTTCTTTGGTTATTCAGGAATGCCACTCTTTCCAGAGCATGCCAGTGTATTCCTTTATGCTACCCTACTGGTGCAAGCTTCAAAATCACCAGAAGGGCACAGACACTCCATGTTGAGGTCATCGCCTCTTGAGAAACCCTGGTTGGTTTCGAAGTCCCCTGTTCAATCCCCTTTGCACAAGACTACCAGAAAAATGGCTAAAGACCAAGGGGACACTTCTTTGCAAAGTGGAGGGCTAATTAATAAAGATCATTCTGTTAATAAAAACCTCTGCAAGAGATTTCTTATTCTATTTATTCCACTCAGAGTTTGGCAAGTTACCATTTTTTATATTAATTCCCAGAATTCTGTAGCCAGAGATTTCTGGGAATAATGGTCTAAAAAAGGAAGTCTTGGAAATTGTAGTCCAAAAAACATTATGTTTTGAACTCTAATTTCCACTTTCTAGATTCACTTTTGGATCATTTCCCTCTAAGTACAAAGGAAATTGTGTGAAATAGTTGTCATGTTGCATGCCACACAGATGAACAATTTTCCATTTTCCAGGAGAAACGTATGATAGACAATAAGCTTCTACTGAACTTCAGTGAGAAACATTTAAGCAGTACTTTTTAAATATGTATTCATACTTTTAAAAGAGGGGCAATAGCTGAGTAGCAGTGCATTTCTTACGCATGCAAAAGGTTCCATATACAAACCACATCAACTCCTGCTAAATTGTGAATTTCGTTGTATGGTATACTGTGTATATACTTACAATGACAATAAATTATATTATACTGCTAAAGGGTTCAAGTTGGAGATGATGGAATAGACTTCTGCCAGTCAGATAGACAACACAGGCCTAAACAAATAATTGACTTGACAAAATAAGGCAGCATCATAGGTGGAAATATAAAACACTTGATTTGAGCTTGCTTTCTTTGGTACCTCTCTGAACTATTAGGTCTGAGGTTCTTCTTTTGCCCACTAGAGGATAGTGTTGCATTATGTAGGAGTAAGGAAACAGGTTTCTCTTTTCCTCCAGGCTTTGAACTGTATGGCATGTTTGTTTGTACCCATGGATACAAATGCAAAAATCTGTCTGTTTATATTTAGTTTCTTGACTCCTATCAGCATCCTTATCCTGTCCCCCTCTCCAAAATGACATACGCATGTGTTGTTTTCCAACATGATTTTTCTAAGGCATACATTCCTGAGCATTTCCTCCTTTTACTGCTTTGTTAGTTGACTTGTAGACCTGAAATTGGATAAATTTATTTAAAAATTCTCTATTAATGTGAATTTCCCTCAGTCTTACACATGGATATCTATTAATATCTGTAACAAGCTTTCCCCATGGAAGGAGGCTGTTGGTATACAGTATAATGAAACAGAATGAAGTGCATTCCTATATTTAGAGTTGCCATTTTAGAACAGCAGCAACTAGTAGAGGATGTGGCAGTTATAGTGAAGTAAATGATAAAGTAAAATATAATGGATTAGTGCTGATTTATTGCAATGTGATAAAGGAGCAATCTAGTTTAGCATTCCCTCACCACCACCTAACAAGTCTGTCATGACCAGCCTTGTCATGTTTCAGTGCAATATTAAGAAGTAAGCAGCAGCTGAGAGTGGAGATGTTCTTTTAAAAATGTCACTTCAAGTAAAAGAATTCCAAAATTTGGTTCTGGTCTCAGTGCAGGTCCTTTGCTGGAAATGGGCAACAGTTTGACCAACACAAGAGAGAGAGATACCCATCTGATAACCCAGATATTGAAAAAACTAGGTAGAAATCTGTCTTTTAGGCAAAATGAGAAGCAGAACATTGCGATGCTTCCCCCACCATTAAAAGGGCTCCTACTGCTGTCGGCACAGGTGATCTCACTGTCCCCCATACATTATGCAGCCAGACTGTGTAAGAATGAGACAGAAGAGGATAGTGAGGGGAGCAACAGGTCATGCTACTGGCAGGGTGCAGCTTCTCATCTCCCACTCAAGGTGGCCCTAGAGCATGGGCTACTGCTGCCCTACCTGTATGAAGCCACCCCTCAAGGGTCACAAGGTTGGCCACAATATCTCATTGCCCTTTTCAAGTTTTGCGTGTCTGTTCTCAAATGCTTGCAGATTTTTATTCGTGTGACCAGATAAATACTAACTAAATTCTGTGTCCAAATTATGAGGAAAAAAACAGGGATGCCGTAGTGCAGAAATCCTCCCCTCAGATCACTGCCAGGTGTGACCAATCCTCAAGTTACTGGACTAATCTCAAATGGTGTGGGGATAAGGCCATGACTTAATTACAAAGTAAAGTCAGTTTTTAAAAGTGTATATGGATAATGTACTCCATTGTTTTGATTATACTTCTGATTCTTTTAATGGCATATGTTACTATTACAGTTCAGTTACCGAAAATTGTGTCCCTTTTTATGTTGCCTGCTTACAAGGTGAAGATAATAAAAAAGAAGAAATCGATAAGCAACATGCCATTTTGTTTCTCTTAAAATTGGGGGAATGATTGGAGCACTAGCTGTGCACCTTGCCATCTAAATGGCTATATTATTTGTTTCAAAAACATTTAAATAATAAATCTTGCTTCAAGGCATGGGTCTTCTTCAAACCTGTGGCAAAGCAGTAGTGCTAATGGATTCTTTAGCATTCCTCCCCTTCCCTTCTGCTGGCTTCTCTCCACAGCGAGATTTTTGTCCCAGCAGGCATCAAGTGGTGCTATCCTTTTCCTTGATATATGCAACCAATACAGGAAGTATTTGCTCTGGTTCTTTCAGGGACTCTTCCCCTCAAATGCAGTGAGGAGAATGGACAGTGTGGATTTAAGCAGAAGCTTCATAAGTGTAACAATTGAGTACCTCTGATTAATAGTGGTCTGTAAATAGTAATAAATAACTGAATACATCTGTAGAATAACAGACAAATTTGGTAATGCTGTCAGGTCTCTTAAGCTTGACGCAAGTCCTATCTAGGTAAATGTGGGAGGAGGAGGAGATGAGATGATTTCCACCAGTACCCCCACTGCCATTCTCTAAAGGTGGTGAGCAAGAGCCTGAAAGGGGGAGACTTCCCTACCTGTGAGAAGTCTCCACCTTCTCTACCTTACAGTCAGGAACCCCAAATTTTTCCATAAAAGAGGCTCTCCTTTTCAGATTGTCACTCTCCACATATAGTAAATGGCAATGGAAGGAGTATGCTTGCACATTCCTCCTCCACACATTCAAATTAACTCTGTAGAAAAAGAAGCCTGAAAAATGCTGTAGCTCAAGGCCTCACAATGCCTTAATTAAGGGCATAATTGAATAAGGCCTGAAACTGGTATGCATAATATTCTTGACCCTCACTTGGGCTTTTGTCAGTAGTCCTCTTGACATGCATACAGTATGCAATGTCATGGAAACAATTTCCCTGCAAAGTGATCCCACGCAAGATACAGGTGAATACCAGAAGCCCGTGGGTGGACTTCAATGGCAGGAGTCTTTCTCACCTTCTTGTCATCTCTGACTGGGAGGGAGTGCTCAACTCAAGGAACTCTGCAGGGTGGCGCTAGAAGATTCCATGCAGATGTTGTATTCTGAAATCAAGAACCAGTGGTTGTGATTTATTTACAGTCAATGAAACTACAGCACAGAGACTATTAATGGCAAATTGTATTTGAATGAGAAGTGTAATTTTTTTAACAGTACAGCAGGATCAGTCCTTGCAGAACTAATGCATGATTTCTGTACTGCTTGGAAGAATTTTGTAAAAGCTTCTTCAAAGCTAAGACTGAGATTTGAAGTTACTAGCGTCCATCTTCTGTATGTGTGTCATTTTAAAGGGATATAGCAGCAAGAAATTGCCTTCTGACCTGCAGTGGACCTGGGCGTGTAGCTAAAATTGGTGACTTTGGAATGGCCCGTGATATCTACAGGTAAGCAATCAAAGTGGTAGGATAGGAGTGGGCAAGCCCAGAGGACTTGGGGTGCAGATTTGTGCTTCCGAGGTCCTCTGCTAGGTTCATGGAGTCCCAAAATGATAGTTTTCAACCATTTTCTAGGAACTTTTAAAAACAAAATTTTTATTTTCAGGGACCCTTCCAAGATCCATATAGTGAAATTTACTGTTCCTGGAGGCCTCTAGGGGAAGAAAAATCTCTTTTTTTGGTTGTTGGTTTTTTTCCTAATTATGTGGGAGGGAAGCATTCTTCAGAGTTGCAAAAGTGTCCCTGGGAGGACATGCACCCCATGGTCTGCACTTTGCTTTTCCAATATGGGAGTAAAAATATGAGACTACATGAAATATAATAATGATGATGGGTTAAAGAGACCCTTCTTCTGTAACTTGGTCTCACAAGTCTTATGGTCCAGTTCATGGGAGAAGAGCCCTCCGCTCTGCATGAGAGCAGCAGGTATCACCAAATCTCAGAAGGGTGACATTAATTCAACTAATATGCAACTTTTCCAAGTTCTGGTTTGTACTAACTCCACTTCCGGTAAACGTGCTGGGATGCAGGGGAGATGGTGGCCTTTTATTTCTTACAGAGGGCTCTCTATTTGAAGACCATAGTTTTTCTCTCTCTCTTCCTCTCTGTCCAACCTTGCCAGGGCGAGCTACTATCGCAAAGGAGGTAGAGCCATGCTTCCAGTCAAGTGGATGCCTCCAGAAGCTTTTCTAGAAGGCATCTTCACTTCCAAGACAGATACCTGGTAAGAGCAACCAAGAGGACAGATCTTTCCATCATGAATTAGCTTTTATTGGATTCAGAGAAATTTACTCCCAGTGATCTCGACCTATTGTGAGCTGTTCAGTATCAAAATGTAAAAGTCACACCAAATTGCCTTTGAAAGCACTATTGTGTAGATATCTTAATTCCTTTTTTAATTTTTTAAATAAACCTTTGCATGTACATTTCAAAGTTACTTTCAGGTATAATGAGTAATGTTTTCTATTTACTTCCAAATTTAATTCCGAGGTATTTCAACCAATATTTTTTAGATGATCCTCTTATGAATCGTTAGCGGGAAAGGCAGTATTCATTAGTTTTATCTTAGCATTTTTGTAAATATTAACAAGGTACAATATCAGAGCTGGTCATTAGACAGAGTCACAGAGAAATTTATTGTGCGTTAATAACATGCAGTGCACAGAAAAACTTGCATGACTGGTATCAACAACCTGGCAGCCAAGAAATAAATACAATGGAGCCCTTTAAAATAATAATCTTCCAAGTTCTGGCTGTATGCCTATCAAGCTACTGTGGTACCAACCCAAGGTTAATGCACTGCCTTCACTGCTTCCCCACTAGGTCCTTTGGCGTGTTGCTTTGGGAGATCTTCTCTTTGGGCTATATGCCCTATCCATGCAAAACCAACCAGGAAGTGCTGGAGTTTGTCACCAGTGGAGGGCGGATGGATCCACCAAAGAACTGCCCAGGGCCTGTGTGAGTATTGCTTTGTTCTTAAAAAAAAGAAAAGAAAAAGGCTGGCCACAAGGTAAGAAAATATTTACAGTAAACAGTCCATAATGTTTTTTTAAAAAAATCCGAATTCCAGAATTTTCCAATAATTCCTGAGGCCGAATACTGGGAATTCCTGTCCATAGGCTCTTCCTGCAGACACCTACATATCACCTGGACCAGGGCCTATCTCTGAGACCCTGTAGTCTGTGTAAAAAAATAAAGAAAGAAAGAAGCTGCCATGGTGCTTGCTGGGAGTTATAGTCTCACTGCTGTTTAGGCTCTACAAAGAGTAAAAAAGCACTTCCAGCAGCTCTTTAAAAAAATCATGGTTTGTAACATAAAATTGCAAATACAGTTCCCCCTATTATCAACTGGTAATTTTCCCTCTGTAAGAGAGATTCCATCATCTTTATATTCATACACATGAATCACTTCAGGAAAAAATAATAATCAGGTGCTGTCGATTCCAATATTTGGCAACCCAGGGCTTTCTAGGTACCAAGTACTCAGAGTGATTTACCTGTCTCTCTGTTGGTGCTCAGGGATTATGCAGCTTGCCCAAGATTGCGTAAGTGGCAGGGCATGCAACCCCATCAGCTACATCTGTTCCAAGTGATCACAGTGACCCTGTCCCCGAAAGCATAATGGGGATTCCTATTCCTTGCCCCAGGTGCTCCAACCCACCGAGTTATATCAGCTATTTGAGAAGACATAACCACTGTAAAATTGGAACTAGAATTGTTACACACATCCTGAGCATTTCTTAGTTAAAATCGCTATTCTGAAACTCAGCAACTCAGAGGAAAAGGAAATAATAATGAGATAATTTTCCAATTCTCGTATTCTTGATACTGAGTGGACTTCTCTTTTGAATTCAAGTTATCGGATCATGACGCAGTGTTGGCAGCACAGTCCGGAGTACAGACCCAATTTTTCTACCATTCTGGAAAGAATCAAGTACTGCACACAGGTATATCTTCTTATGAAATGTAGTAGAATTGTGGTGGCAAGCATCTCAAGAATGGCATCCACCATTCTTTATGTGCTCCATTGCTTTTCATGCCTAACTTATGAACATAATAAGCTGACCGGAGCCAAGAAGGGAACTTTTACAGCCATAGCTCTTTCCCGTTTTGAGTTACTTCAGGTGGCGAGGAGGGGGAACAGCATTGAGTTTTTAAGACTCAAAATACCATTGGTGAAGGAAACAACGAGCAAGAGTTTGTGCTTGATACTTTTTCTCAGGCGGGGGACAGGAAGTGTTTCCTCTTGCTATCAATATCATGCAAGGGCCAGCTCTTCCCTACGATGACTAGACTACTACATTTGAACTTTTCAATGGGCCTGTCTTGCAGAGAAGCACAACTCCCTGATGTTTGCTGTTTGGAGTTAAAGTAATCATCAGCAAAGTGATATGATTCAGGCAGTACGGTGGCTGCTACCCAAACTTCACAGGGCATGCCTCAAGTATTACTTCTCTGAACTGATGTTCTAAGTGCTCTCTATGAAGTTTAGCTCACAATCACCACACATACTTCAACTGGAAAGGAAAGATTAGCGCCTTTTGTCACCAGTGTCAGGTAAGCAGCTAAATATGGATCATGATTTAGGAAATTCCGAGTTCCCAAGTGGCCAACATGGGAGTAGCAAGTGATCAGAACGTACAGGCCCAGCATTGATGCCTGGGCTGTCATGAGAACACCAAGGCTCCCCAAGTGTGAGTTTAAAATATGAACCCACACATGCTCAGACCATTCCTTTCTCTCTTGATCAGGGCTGGCAAACAGGCTTTGTTGTTACTTTCGCTCTTAATATATGAGGAAATGATAGGAGCTGTGTGATGCACAACTGAATTTAAAACTCCCTCCCAGGCTGGCTCCATTTTTGCTGTGCTTCCACACGCAGGCTTCAAGCAGGCTTTTCCTTATTGACTGGCTGTCTGAGAAGGGGTTTTGAATGGATTGTTGTGGTCTGTTGCTTTTAAATGTCTTTTTTAGTGTTGATTTTATTTACTTTTTTAAATAGATTTGTTTAATTATTTAAGCCACCTTGGGTCCTTTTAAGGAGAAAAGTGGGGTAAAAATATTTTAAATAGTTTTTTTTTTTACCACACATAAAAATGCCCCATGGAACCTCTTCTGGCTAATTGAAGGGTGTCACTTGCATGTTGGTTGCATGCCTGGTCACAAGCCCAGTTGTGCATCCAACACCTCAACAATTACGTAGCTACAGAATTTCCACCATTTCACTTCTGTTCACAATACAAACATAAGGATTCCAGTAGTCCTCTGGCTATGGTCCTCTAAAGGGGATCCCCCATAAGTCTGTGAAGTCCAAGATCTAAAATTACATTGCAACCAAGGAAGGTAGAAATAAAGGGGTATGCAAAGTGCAGCCCACCAGACGTTGATGGACTGCAATATACAAACATTAAAAAAGAATGCTGGGAACTGCAATCCAGTAAAATCTGGAGGTCTGCATTCCACTTATCTGTGTTCAGCCATCATACAGGGACCAACATCACTCTTCTACCAGTAAATTTCATGGTTTATTTTTAAATAAAGCTATGCAATTGCTCTGTGCTGGGGATGAGAGAACCTGTTTAACTCAAAGTATATGAGAGTATTTGCTTGTCTTCCAGGACCCTGATGTGATCAATACTGAGCTGCCCATTGAATGCAGTCCGACACCTGACGATGATGGCAGCATTGTGCTGCACCCCAATAGTTCCACTGGGATGGTTCCTTTAATGGGAAGCCCTTCCTGTGCTTCTCAGACGAATCTCAGAACACTGGAAGATCATAATTCAGGGAACAAATATGGGCAGTGTCCACAAGAGATGGTGGTGGAGAACCTTGACAGCTGGGTTGCCAAAGGACCATCCTGCCTCCCTTGCTTCAGTGATCCCAGCAGTGGGGCTTGGGCTCAGCCAGCTCTCAACCACAAACTGGATTCCAGCAATCAGCCAGCACACAAGTTGAAGAATAAAACCAAAAACCTCTGGAATCCAACCTACGGGTCCTGGGTCCTGGAGAATATTTGCCCACCCAGTCAGAGCTCCAAACTCAATCCAACACAAGAGCGGGAAGATTCAGGTTTTGATGGGAACTGTAGTTCCTCCCCAAGTTCTCGGGCATCACCTTCCTCCCCAAGCCAGAGCCATTCTCCTCACATTGGTATTGGGGGGATTGAACTGGTGAAGCTGCAGAATTTCCCCTGTGGCAACGTCAATTATGCTTACGATGATCTCTGCTACGAAACCAGTCGACCTTCACCTTTGGCAACAGATTCAGCCATGCTCTTGAGGAGTGCCAGCCTGCACAGGGATGGCAAGCTTTCCTTCAAGCCAGAGAAGACCTCAAGAGAGAGAGACTCAGGCCTCTCCTTGTCCGATGACCTCAGTGTCACGCCTGTGTAACAGGGGATGCTCTTCCCACAGTCAAGCCTTCACTCTGGGAGTGAGTAAGAGCAATGAAAACATCCTTTGTTGTTGTCTTCCTCGCTCCCTTCTCCCTTCTCTGCATCTCCTCTTCCCATTGTTCTAGAAACAGTTGGATTAATGCTGTCTTGCTGTAGCCTCTGGCACTATGAGTGGCCCATGAAAAACCTGCAAATTATCGATGTGGCTCCACCCTATTAAGCCTTTGTTAGTGGTTACAGGGTGTAACAAGGTCCTTGCTACAGTGGTCCACAGTCTGAAGGTCCTTGGAGGCAGCTACACCCAATCACCTCTGCTGAAAAGTCATCACTACTGTAAAATAGAGTAGATAAGAAATGCACAAAACTATGAACTACTCCTAGAGACCAGTGGGCTGCAAATGTTGTACTCTGCAGATGATTCATTAATAAGGCTGATAGGAAATGAAACCAGCAGGCTTTCAGGACACAGTTCCTGAAAGCTGTCGTAACAAGAAGTGTATTCGTAATGGAAGGGAACCAAAGTTTGAGGGCACAAAAATATTTATGTTCTTTAACAAGAGCATTAAAAATTCTGAAAACAAAACAAATAAGAGTTTAAAGGAACAATTGGGACTAATAACCATTCTTTTTGCAGTACTGAAATCTGCTTTGCACCCCATGAGTCTAGTTCAGTTCCCTGTTCCTCACCCTAGGTTCCAGGAGTCACCCTGAATTGGACTTTTCTTTTTAACTCCACCCTCATGAATCTCCCCCCCCAAAGGCATATTGTCCTTCCCATACTAGTATTGGTGCAAATAAGAGTTTAAAGGAATGCAATAATGGTGCAATAATGGTGGCAGAAAAAAAGGGGGAAGCACGGTATAGTACAGTGATTGCCAGTCTTGACTCCCCAAATGTTCTTGGACTAAAACTCTCAGAAGCCTTCACCACTAGCTGTGTTGGCCAGGATTTCTGGAGTTGTAGCCCAAGAACATCTGGGGACCCAAAGTTGAGAACTACTGATATCGTACATTCAAGCAAGCTGTAGATTTACCAGATATAGAGATTTCCTGTGTCCCTACACAGAATGAAGGAAGAGATTAAACAAGCCCTTGGGAGCAATGAGAGGGCCAGGCAGGGCAGGAAGGGGAGAAAATAGCCACCCCGAAGCAGACAAAAATGGAAAATCCCACTCCTCGATGTTGTGTCCTGCTGGTATGAGCCCACCAGACATTTGCATGGTCCTCCTTCTGCCTTTGTAAGATTCCTCTGTGACAGGAAACAAGGCCCAATAAACTCAATAGGACTAAACATTGGTACTGTCAATGTATTTACGAAGGCTTTCACAGCTGGGATCTAATGGTTGTTGTGGGTTTTTTCGGGCTTTTTAGCTGTGTTCTGAAGGTTGTTCTTCCTGACGTTTCGCCGGTCTCTGTGGCCGGCATCTTCAGAGGACTGGAGTAGGAACTCTGTCCATGCTCTGTTGGTGTTTGTTGGGTAGTATTTATAGCTGTGGGAAGACTTTTGTCTTTTTTTCAGCAGATAGGGTGATCAGCATGTTTTTGTTTTGATGAGGGAGTGGGGAAGAGGGAGAGATTATCTGTCACTGTGATTGATGGGTGTCGTTAGTTGATCTTTTTTGTGCAATGATCTCTGGCCCTTGTGGCTGGGGAAGAATTTGTTGACCTTTTGCAGGTTGTATTTTCCAGAATGGTGCGCCAGGCCGGGTTTATTTTCAGGCCACCTTCTTTCCCGTTGAAGTTTTTTTTTTGTTTATGGATTTCAATGGCTTCCCTGTGTAGTCTAAAATACAGATTGCTGGTGTTGTCCAGTATTTCAGCATTTTGAAATAGAAATAGCCATTTAAATCCATAAACATAAACAAAACTTCAACAGGAAAGAAGGAGGCCTGAAAATAAACCCGGCCTGGCGCACCATTCTGGAAAATACAACCTGCAAAAGGTCGACCATATATTGGGACCACAAAATGCAGCATTCACACCAGAATCAAAGAACATGAGAGACACCGCAGACTAAAACAACTGGAAAAATCAGCAGTAGCTGAACATGCCCTTAAACAAGCTGGACATGAAATTCACAACCTTCAGCACATGGCTAAAAAGCCCAAAAAACCCACAACAACCATTGGTACTGTCAGTTTCCTACTGTGATGTAACAGCTTTTTAAAGAGGAAATAAAACAGTTTGTCAGTACCTCTTTTTTGTACACTTTTTAAATTGAAATAAGGCACGTGCTACACTTTGTGTTCAGAGTGTTCTCAATCACTGCATTCACTTATATTTTGTGATACTGGTCATCTTATATAGAGTTGTGTGCCCTGGCGATTATGCAGATCTAAGGATCTTCATCATCTTCACTGACACTCCCTCTTTCCATTGGCTCTTAGAAAGACTTGGAACAGGTCCAAATATATTAATCAAATTATATTAGAATTGTACGTTGATTCAGGGTGGGGTGGGGTGTTTGACTCTGGGAAAAATAGTGAGCACTCTTACTTTAAATTACAACTTTTCCTTTCATAGCAAAGATAAATTATTAAGGACCATTTTCCAACACTCGTTTCTCTTTTTAGTACCATAGATTGGGGAAAAATATGGCCCCAGTGATAGCTTGCTGTTTTAATGCTATATCTGTGTGATCATAAGCTTACAGTTTCTGTAAAACACATTTTAGAGAGGTTTGTAACAAAGATAACTGATCCACACACAAAAAGGAATTTAAATTGCTTGAGAGTTTTCTGTGCAATTCCACATAATAACATTATACTGTGATTTCCACATCTCCTATTCAGATCGTTTTCCTTTCTTCAGACTTACCTTTGCTCTATGTTATGTTCTGTGCTGTTCTCACTTAGACTTTAACGATCTGTTGTCTCTCATCTAGATTTTAGAAAACACCCTCCTGCCTCTAAATTTGGCTTTCAGCAGCCTCATTTCACCTTTCTCTTGGCACATAAAACCCAGATATGTGGAACCGAAGAAAGATTGTCATTTTCACATTTGTACATTTAATTGCTTTTGATCTGTGATTACCTCTAAGAATGGCAATACTTCTTGCCACCTCATCCTTTGGGGATCACTGTAATTACATGAATAACAAGCCTGCTTCTATGCAATTTCAAATCAGCCAAGATGTATACTTCTATATTTGCAATGCAGAAATAAAGACATCCAAACACAGCTGTTTAGTCTTGTCTGTCGATAACTAACTCTCTAGATGTAAGGTAAGTGAGATGCCAGCATTGTTAAATAAAAGGTTATCAGGTAGTTCATCTCTCTCCCCCCCCCCATTCTCTCTTTGGAGAACTGGTAATATATATACTGTACTCTATGTCACATCATTTTCACCAGGCACTGCCTGCAAAGATGCCCGTTAGGCTGGAGACAATCTGTTGTTGACAAAGAGAGATGAATAAAAGCACCATCACTTTCCATGGCATAGCTAGCTGTCCTCAGCTTATCTGGCTGAAGGGTACTGTGGGAGTTGTGGGCCAGCACATCAAAAGGGCAACAGGATGGTGGAAACTGACAGACACTCCCATTACTCCCACTTCACTGACACCTGGTAATCTGGCTTTATATGTTTCTGAAACAATAGGGAACCAGCAACATACAGTGTAAGCAATGAATCAGACTTCCAAGCAAGCTTCGCTTTCTCGTGAATAAAAATACACCTCCAAACATACAATGATTTTTTTAGCCCTAACAGTAGTGTGTGGTGTAATTTCCAGGTCTCCAACTTCACGTGCTCATTAGTCCAAGGATATAGGACCCTCCAATGTAAAAACTGAGGCTTTGTGTATCCTGAACTCCTTATGGAGCAACATATCAATGTACAGTATTATCTGCCAGCACATTAGCATCACCATTATGTTTAAAGAAAGGAAGGTTTTGTGTGTGTGTGTGTTTCTTTGTTCTCAATGCTCAAACAAGAGTTACAAACAAATATATTTTATCATTGCATTACTTTTGTGGCATACACACCATGCTGACAGATGTTTCTATTAACTTTTTTTAAAAAAAACCATATATTGCTGATCATATAATACCCCTTGCCACCTTATTAATTAGCAAAATCAAATATCTGCAACTCCTCTTAGTCCAAGGTAAAGGTAAAGGTTCCCCTTGACAATTTTTGTCCAGTCGTGTCCGACTCTAGGGGGCGGCGCTCATCCCGCTCTTCAAGCCATAGAGCCAGCGTTTGTCCGAAGACAATCTTTCCGTGGTCACATGGCCAGTGTGATTTAGACACGGAACGCTGTTTACCTTCCCACCGAGATGGTACCTATTTATCTACTCGCATTTGCATGCTTTCGAACCGCTAGGTTGG